TAATGTTACGTATACTATTTTAATCTATTTATATTTATACCTCCTTATATGAACCCTCAGCAGCATATTGTGTATTGACATATGTTTATATGTTTTATTATGAGATTTTTATTTTTTTGCATTTTGGTCCTCTTAGATTCCTTTGGACTAACTTCATTGCAGAATTTAAGTTGAACAAATAAATCAGTCCATCACTGCTTCCACGAAGGCAGCTGGAGTCGGGGTGGGGGAGGCACCAAAAGGCAACGCCAAGGACTTGCGAGAGGGAGAACCAGGGTGCAGCCGGATCAATGTTGTTGCACCCCAGGGAGAAAAGAAACCGCTTCCTGCGGCCGTTCGTGCTTCCCACCACACCCCTGCCCGGCACGAGCGCAGGACAAGCCCAGGAGGGATCACTCCAAGGGGATGGCCGAGCTTAAGATAAATCCCCTGGATCACTTCACTTGAAAACAAATGCTTGAGCCCAGCGTGTCCCTTTTGCCCCTTTGGGAGGATGCCACTTTCAGCCGGCCTTTGGCCCTCTCGCGAAAGTGGGCAGGCCACCACGAGCAGGCTTTTTCTGGGGGAAGCAGCTGGGCCTCACGGACCATGGTGCCCAGGCCCAAAGCTTGTGCAGGCCCGGTACCTATTTTGCAGGGCGGCGTTTGGGCTGTGCAAAGACGGAAGAAGGATGCTCCTGTTTTCCAGCTGCCAGCCCAGCACATCCAGCTCAGGGCCCGAAGGCCACCAGATTGCAGTTCCTGTTCTCCACCTGCTGCACCAGGAGGAGAATGACACGAGGCGGACACCGGCTGCGAAGCTGCCACGAGGCCCTCCTGCTCCAGCCCAGGAAAGCAGCCTTCCCCAAACCAAGGCACTCTGGACGTTTCAGAAAACAGCTCCATTTTCCCTGCTGCTCAGCCAGAATCCAGCCACCTCCAGCTTTGCCGCAAACCAAAACAACTGTCTGGTTTTGGGGTGCCCTTTGAGGCTCCAGACAAGTGCCAGCACAGCAAAATTTACCCCGGGTGCGCCTCACAAACAGGCAAAGATGCCATGCAAGAACATCAGTCACTACGAGAGGAGTGCAACCCTTGGATGGGACCCCATAGATGGGGGAAGCCAAGCCAGAATCTTCTGCGGGCGACGCAGGAGCAATGCCTGCAAAGCCACCAAGCGGGCGGCTGCCGGACTCGCGGGGCCGGTGGCTCCAGCTCGAGGCGGCTCTTTCCCGCCGCTCCACACAGCTGCAGGCCCGGGACTGAAACAGCAGAAAGACAACGGCTCCCGCGCAGGGCTTCGGTCAAGCCTAAAATGCCTCTGGAATGTCAGGGCTCAGTTCTGGAATGCAGAAATGGCTTCTGGGGAAGATCGGGGACGTGAGGACGCATCCCTAACAAGGGCCTTGCCGGCATGTGCCTGGCAATCGTTCTGCGTCCTTTAGGCTTTCTAAATTAAAACCATTTAGCCAGTCGGCAGTGCTAAGAGGGAATAAACCAGGGGACCCCAACACAGCTCCAGTGGGACCCCCAGCAGCCCCTGTTCCCCGTCTCCTGCAAAGCATTTTTAACAATAAAAACTTTGGACAATGTGAAGCCGTCTTCCTTCTCTCTCCTGCTCCCAGCCTCCAGAGTCACCCCTTATCCCTTAAGCATCGGCCGGCATGAATCTTATGCCTGAGGGACATAAGCATCGAACCTTCCAAAACTGTCGCCTTTTAATCAGTCAAATTTCTTACCTGTAGAAATCCACGCGGTGACGCGGCCTGGAACCCTGCAGTCCAGGAGCAGCGCTGGCGCAGCCTTTCTGCGGCGGGCACAGGCCCACAGTCAGGGTGCAAAGTCTGAGGAGGGGGCAGGAAAGGGGGCCTCCACACGCAAGGGTGTCACGGGGTCTGAGCTCCATAACATACACACTTCCTTCAAACACAAGTCGCGATGGCGCTGAAAAGCAACGTTTCATTTAGTGGCAGTCCAAACTCCCAGTTGGATAATCATGTTTTAACAAAATGGAAGAAATAAAGGCCAGGAAGGGCTGGGAACTGGGGGGAGGGGGCAGAAGCAGGGGCACCAGTGCTGAGGGACACTTGGCCAGAAACCTCTGGATTAGATGCTTCAACGAGGGTTTCCAGAGTGGAGAAAAGGAGGGGTGACTGCCTGGTGCTGCCTGGGTGCTAGAGCTCCGTGACCTGGTCGCATCACATTCCTGGCAGGACAACCTGGGCACGTCAGGCGACCCCGGAATAGGTCGTCACTGGTTCTAACAGGCGTGATGCTCAGAGGAATCCAGAGGGTGCCAGCAGCCAACAGCTCCCCGAAAATTGCCACTGGAGCAATGTCCCACTCAGAGAAGCTGTGACAACCGACGCACTGAGCCCTTGGACTGTCCCCCCACCCCACCCCCCAGAAGGAAGACAGAAGAAGCCCCAAAGGCTCGGTGCCTGCCCATCAACACATGAAATACCTTCAAGTCTTACTTCTGAGGAGGAAAAATGCTCTGGACTGGGGCCCCAGTGACCCAGCAGGAACAGAAGGGGCAGCCGCATTCTCTGCTAAATGGCTCAGTGGGCACCTCGCCCCTGCTGAAGCAACATCTCCCGTGTGCTCGGCTGGGCAGCTTCCCCACTAGCCTGATCCCCGAGCCAATGGACGGCTGGCGGGCAGGTAGGAGAGGCCATCGGGACAGGCGGCAGGCGTGAGACTCCCGCCATGGCTCTGCAGGTTGTGAGGCTCTTCAGGTCGTTGCCCCACCGTGCCTTATCCCCACGACGGTCTTCTCCAGCAAGGAGCGCCACTGCAAGACCAAGAAGTTCCAGTTCGGCCTCCTCAGACCAGAAAATGTCCCGCATGTTCCTGGTGCCTCTCACATGCCTTTTGGCCCACTCCGAATGGGCTTCGTTGCAAGCAAGGGATTCCTTCTCTGCCTCCACTTTTCCTTTGACAATTCTTGCAGAATCATGTGGTGCTTTTCACATATTTGCCCTTGCCGAGAAGCTGGAATGCAAGAGCTGGGAAGAAGTTATGGGATGCCTCAGCCCAGTTATGGACACTGGTCTCCCTGTCTGGCAGGCACTCCTCGAAAAGTTTGTTCATTGCTCTCCCTCGCTGCCGGCTCCTGGAAGGTGCGGCGTCTGGCACCCCAGGGTTCATGCTCGCACTGGAGAATGTGGCGCTTGCGTTTATGTAACGCTGCTGGAGGCAGAAAATCCAAAAACAAATTATGAGGAGGGCAAACATAACATTCTTCCATGTGGCCACAGCGGATTCTTTGCCCCTGGCATGAACCTGCCTCCCAAACTTCATTTTATTTATTTCATGCACTGGATTCCTGTGCTGTCCATCAGTCCCGCAAACAAACCTTAAACCCCCCAAATGCAATAACAGAGGACAGCATAATATAAAAGCCATTTGTTGGAAGCAGCATCAAACCAAAGCCATGCCCGAGTGTCCGTGCAAACATCTAGGACTGTTTGACGTATTCCCTGCACAGACAGGGGTTGACCCAGGGAGAAGCTTGATGGAGGTGGAAAAGAAAACGAGCCCCTCGCCACTGGGAGTGGGGAGGGGATCCCCCGAAACTGGACAGAGGGACAAGGGGAGACCCTCCCAAGAGGAGCAGCCCTCCCCCCGCCTCGAGAAAGGCCCATCCTGGACCCAAGCCCATTGCAAGCAGGGAACGGGCAGGCCCCTCTCTGTTCCCTCCTGCGTGGCAAAGGGTGCTGGGGAGAGGCTGAAGAGGTACCTGGGGCGGGAGGGGAGGAGTAATCAATCACCCTCCCCAGAGCCCTGGCCTGGGTCCGGCCGGGCCCCTCCAGCTGCCTTCCTGCCTTCCTCGTCTTCAGAAAAACTGGCCCACAGCTCCATCACGGTTCCGCTCTGACTTCGGCCCTCTGTGCCCGCAGGGGGTCCCGGCTGCCCTCTTTCTGCATAGGGGTGCCCATCTGGGGGGAGCTGTGGCCGTGCGTTGTGCACAGGACTCCATCCCCCACGGGAAGGGGCTGCTGAGGCCCCCCACTCTCTGGCCATGTTTCCCCTGCACCAGGCGGGCAAAGGGCGAGAGGCCACTTTCCGCTCCGTGGCTCCGTGGCTGCTGCGGCTGTGGCAGGCTTCAGGTGCGCCAGGTGGGGCTGCCCTCTTGCAGCCCAGCCTCCCTGTGCCCCGCAGGTGTGTTGGCATGCAGTTCCCATCCTTCCCAGCCAGAGAAGAGACGGCTGCTGTAGATCGGGGCACGGCTGCCCGAGGCAGTGGAAGGAAACCCACCGGAGAACTGCAGAGCTCAGCTCCTCTGCAGCTTGCTGCCCAAGCCAGCTGGGTTCAGAGGCCGCGCGCGCGTGTGTGTGTGGGGGAGGGACTGGATCATCCTGTCCCACAGGGGACCAGCAAGGGGGCAAGGTCAGTGGAGAGGGCACCCATTCAGCCTCCCGGCCTAGCCTACCTCGCAGGGCTGCGGTGAGGGGAGCGAGTGAAGAGCAGCCCCCAGGTTGCTTGCAGCGGCAGCCACGCGCCTTCCAGCCCTTCTCTCGACACGGGTGCAGCGGCACGTGCAAACAGCAGGCCGCCCGCCAGCAGCACGTGCGCCGGGGAGCTCCGAGGCGCGCGTTCCTCTCGGGCCCGGCAAGCAGGGCTGCCCTTGCTGCACCGTAGCCCCGGGCCGATGCAGTTCGCAAGCATTTGGGGGGGGGGCGGGGTTGAGCAGCCCGTCCCCCGTTCGCGCTGTCACCCCCGGGGTCCCACCGCGGCGCGGGTTGCGGCGCCGGGACCAAGTCTGCCCGCAGCGCCTGCTTGGCCGTGCGGCGGGGGCCGCCCCGCGCGGCCGGGTGCGTGCACTTGGGGCGGGGGGCGATGCGGCGGCCTCCCGCGGTCCCGCGCAGCCCGCCCCTCCTCCTCCTCGGGGAAGCTGCCGGGAGGCCTGCCCTGCCCTGCCAAGCTTGGGGCGGGGGCAGGAGCTGCGGCGGACTCCCCTCCCCCGGTTGCATCTGGCCGAGGCGCCGCGAGGAGCGGCCATTCCGCCGAGAGCGCAGCATGCGGTGGGAGGCGGTGGCGCTGGCCCTGACGGCCCTCGGCCTGCTGCAGCTGCTGCCCGGCAGCACCCAGGTAGGGCGCGGGCCAGGCTCTCCTACCCCGCACCTGGGGGGGGGAGGGGGGAGAGGGGAGGGGGGAGAGGGGCGGTGCCCCCAGCCCGGGACTGGGGGGGCCGGGGGGCCACGCTGCCAGCTAGCGGGGAGCGGAGGAGCTGCCCCCCAGCCCTGCTGGAGGAACGGCTTGTCTTGTTCCCTCATCTCACCCCGTTCCTTCTTCCTCTCGTGCCCTGTCACTTCAGGTTGGAAGCCGCGGGCAGAGAGTGTCTTTTTTAATGGCTTTGGCCTCAGCTTCACCCAGGGGCTCTTCGCCTAGGCAAAGCCCCAGGGACGAAGTCTCGCTGGGGCTCAGCATGGATCTGGAGGGGCTGGCAGGGATGAGACCTCGCGGGGACGTGAAGCAGGCTGAGGGCAAATGCTCCCCCAAGGCCAGCCAACGGCTCCCCGCTTCCCAGCATGACCCGCTTTTTATCCTCCCCGGGAGAGTCTGGAAGGAAGGCAAAGCCTGCGGATGTTGGGGCTGGAGCGGGACAATCCACACGCTCCACTCACAGAGCTCGGACCCGGGCAACCAAGCCCACGTCCAAACTTTAAGCCTAGTCCCGTTCAACAATCCAAAGTCACAGCCGGGAAGGGTAGAAACACGAGGCCAGGGCAGTCCAGGAAACAATTACGTAGTGAGGGCAAGCGAGAAATCAGAAACAGTGAAGCAGGACCGCAAGAAGATGGACCTGGGGACCAAGGCAGGAGCAGAGGCCAGGACCCGGAGCGAGGTCCAGGAGCAGGAAGAGAGCAGGAAGCAGACCAACCTTTGCTGCAGAGGCAGCTGCGGGAGGGAAGAGCCCGTTCTTATGTAACTTTTCCTCCAGACGCTCATAACAGCCCCAGGAGCTGCAGTAGATGGAGGGACTAATCCTGCAACTACAGGGTGCTGTTCCAGCAGAGGAGGCCTGAAGCTGCCTCAGGTCTTGACACAGGATTCTCCTGGGCTGGGGACTGGCAAGGACATTCGGGGCGGGGGGGCAGCCTTTCCCCGGATCCTTCTGCCCTGGCCCATGGAGTATCCCCCCCACCCATGAAAAAAGAGATAAAAGCCCTGGGGTGTGGCCTCCCATGGCATTTGCACCCGCTAATCTGTGGATGCAAACATTAGGACGGCGATGTGAAGAGAAAGGCGCTGATGGGGTTCTTGTGCCCCCCGTCTGCCCTGTCACTGGGGGTCAGGCAATGGCGCAGCCCCCCTTTTCCCTTCTTAAGGCTCTTTGCCTTCAGGCTGGACAGGGCAGCCATCCAGCAGAGGACTGCCTCTGTGAAGGAGGGTTTTGGTCACCCTGTGCCTGGTCCAGCCAGTTGGTCCATGCATTGCCACATGCACAGCAGATGGTGGCCACCCCGTGTATTAAAGGGACATGGAGCATCTTTCCGCCTGAGAGTCAAATTCCAATCTGGGGGTGCTCTTGGGGGGCTGTGTTCTGGGGGGGAGAAGGGGCAGGGCCAGGGGCAAAGCGGTGGGGCTGAGACCCCCAGACCGCTTTCCTTAAAGTCGTCATGGCCGGTGACTACACCTTAGGGAAGCTTTTCCGGAAGCCAGAGGGGAGTACACAGAAGCTGGGAAACCTCGAGCGATGGGTGGAATGGAGCCAGTCCAGAGGAACTGGTCCATCCCTCAGGTTGGCTCTGGAGGTTCAGGTGGGGACCTTGGGCGGAGGTGGGTCTCCCTCAAGCCAACAAACACAAGCATCTCCCAGTTGGCCAGTTTACTCACGCTGGACAAGCCGTGCTGTCAGGCTAGGACACCCAGCGCTGGACTCCGCATTTTCCCAGCAAGATCTATTGAGCCCTGCCGGCTGGGACCCGCCCCAGCCCGGGCTCCCTTGCTTCCAGGAGGACCCGTGGTCAGTGCCAGCAAGAGCAAGCCTGGCTTCATCCCCTGGAGAAACTGATGGAGGTCACACCAGTGTCTTCTTCCCAGACTTTGCCCCGTGCTGCGCAAGCTACGGATTCTTAGCTTGGGGCCGGGCTGGACATGCTTGGAGCTTGCCCAGTGGGACGAGACACAGAAATGGAATTCTAGCAGACTCCCATGCTAGAAGCTGAACACAGGTTCTCTTGACTTCTGGGGAGTCAAGCTAATGGAGAGAAGCAGTTAGCGGCCACAGTGCTCGGCTGGGATGCAGAAGAACCAGGTTCAAGTCCTCATCCAGCCACGCAGCTGTCTGGGCCAGTCATAGCCTCTCAGCCTAACCTACCTTGCAGGGAGGTTGTGACAATAAAACAGAGCAGAGAAGGACTATCTGCTGGGCTCCTTGCAGGGAAAATGGTGGGATATAAATGATATAAAAGGAACTATGTACCTGGCTGGAGATGCGGCTAGTGCGGGCCTTTGGGAGCCCAAGTCCAGAGTCTGGCAAGTCGATGACCTCCCAGAAGTGGGGCAGATCTGCTGTGCTTGGCACCCGTGGCCACCCCACGTTGCTTTGGGCTTGGCGTTGCAAAGGTCCTGCCACGATGCCTCTGCTTCTGTCCAGGACTGCCTGACCAGGCAGCAAGTGGCCAACCTCCTGCAGCAGGTCCAGAAGCTGCTCTCCTCACACGAAGCGGCCCAGCAGCAGCACCTGCGCGACTTCCGGAAGCAGCTGGCGGTGTTGCACGGCACCCTCCAGAGGGCCAAGCCCAGCGGTACTCAGGGTGAGGCTGGGGCAGGCGGACCTGGATCGCTGTCCCTGTCACGGTCCATCACATTGATATCCCACCTCGCTTTTCACAACAACCTTGTGAGGTAGACTAGGCTGGCAAAGCGGGGCCCACAGTGCCCCCGATGGCAGATTTAAACCCAGGTTTTCCTGAAGTCCTTTACACTGCAGTGGACTCCCTGTGCTGCCCAGTTCTTCTGGCCCAGAAAGTACAATTAAGGTTTCCTTCTTATTTAAAACTTCGACACCACCCTTCAGTCACAAAAGGTTCCCAGAGCTCCCAAAGATCAGCAGTAAGGTAGTTCTTTCCCTCCAGTGCACAATCTGAAAGGCATGTGCTAAAAGGAAAGGAGGGGGAGGGAGAAGGAAAAGAAGCGAAAGCAGGTCCCAGTTCTTCCATTTACCAAGTTCTTAGAATGACCTGCTGGAAAGAAGCAGGTCAGGGTGGCCAGAGCCCCCTGGAGCAGGTCTCTCAGGAGAGCCTGCAGAGAGGTCACCCTGCTTGCCATTTCTCCCAACAGCCTTTATGCATAGAATATTAGAAGCTGGGGAGTGGGGGAAGCACCTGGTGAAGTGGACTGGCAAACAGATCCAGCCTGAGCAAACAGAAATGCTTCTTCGCACTGTTGCATGATGAACACATGGGTTTTGTTTTATTTTTTTCGTCTGTATCTGCCTTTACTGCTCGCCTGCCATGTTATATCCCTGAGCTCCATTTTCGGTAGAAAGAAGCCCCTTTCTCTTGCTCACTCGCGTCTCCGGCTCTGCGATCCCCAGCAGAGAGCTGTCCCCTCCTGCCAGCTCCCCTGAATGGCAGACGGCTGGGCCGGAAGCGGGCTGTGGGCCATGAGGTGCACTTCACCTGCCATCTCGGCTTCCGTCTGGCGGGCTCGGAGACACGGACGTGCCTGGAGAACCACACCTGGAGTGGACAGCAGCCCTCCTGCAAAAGTAGGTGCACTCGGGTCTGCCGCGGGTGCTGCTGCAAGACTTGCTGTGGGGGCCCAAGGCTGGGGGTGTCGCGGCTCCAGCGATCGTCTCCGACAGCCAAGAGTGTGCTGCTGCAGTTTGGGGCATGGTGCATTCAGATGATGCGTTGCCCGGGGGGGGATTGCTTGTGTCATTTGTTTCCACCTGTGCATTTCTTAGAAAGCTGCGTAGCAGAAAGGCAGAACCGCAGGCCCACAGGCCCAAACTTTCCCAGAGTCCGTGCCCCTTTCCCTTGGCCAAGCCTCCTCCACGCACCCACCCACTCCACATCCACACAAGAGAGCGAGCAGGAGAGGACCCCTCCCCATGAGGGGCCTGGCTCGAAGTCCTTCCCTTGGCTTCTGAAATCACATCTTCTTTCCTTGGGAACTAGACAGCAGAGCGAGACTGTCAGGATACCAAGCTCTGCACCCCCGCCCCCGATTCTCTGGACCTGTGGAGGAGAAATGTAGCCCTGCCTCTGTGCTCTACTCAGGAGAAAGGTCGGCCAGCCCAGTTCGTCTCAGCTGCAGGAGCGTGTCCCAAGACAGAGCACTCCTTGGATTTCTGGCCACACTTTTCTGCCTTTCCCCCACCCAGCAATGGCCCTGCGTCCCTCCAGAGCTCCCCAGCAGGGGGGGGGGAATTTGGCCCTCACCCCAGCTGGGGGGCCTGCGCTGTGAGAGGAGCAGAGCGGGGCCCTAACCCCACCCGCCCCCCATTGCCTTGCATGCCGCCGACCAGGCCTGACGGCCCCTCTCGACCACAGGTTGGGCCACGCTCAGCAACGCCTCCTTCAGCCGCCAGCCCCGCTGCGCCGACAACCCGCTGGGCTCGCGCCAGTGCAGCTGCGATGCCGGCTTCCAGATGCGGGCGGGAGGCCTGTGCCAAGGTAAGGCCAGGAATGCGGGCGGCCAGCGGGGGCCGGCCTGGCACTGCCGCCATGCCCCCTGCAGTCTGTGCGCGGCCAGAGCACCACTGGCAGGCTTCCCCAGCGCATCCAACCCTTCTTGCCGAGCGGTGGGAACATGGCCGAGCTCCTGCAACCTCTCGCAAGAGTCTGGTTGTGGGAGCCCTCTGTCGGGTGGGGGCACAAGGTGGGGGCAGCCTTAATGGAGGTGATCCAATATGCTGGGAAGGGCCAGGAGCACCGGGGCGGGATGCCTTCCAGGCGGCGCTCCCCAGGAACGGTGCCCGCTTGCCTTCCGCTCCCACGGGGATCTGCTTTGCAAGCCGAACACCTCCGCCCTGCCAGTCTGGAGGAGACCCCAACACACCCGAGGGGTTCCCTGGGCCTTCCTCCCCTCACATGCCGCCGAGTGCCACTGTTGCTCTGCTGGAGCTCGGGACAGGCCACGAGGGCCCGGCGCGGCTGAGCGCGACGAGGGGAGCGAACCAGGGTGCGAAACGCATCCATGCCACGGATCCTTCGGTAGGGAGCCCAGAGGGTCTCCGAACCCAGTCACGGGCGCAGCTAAGTAATTTCAGACACTGGGCTTAACATGTTCCAGGGGGAGTCTCTTCTCTCCCCCTCCCAAGCACCGTTGCTTTGCAACAGCTTCTGTATCCCTGATAGGTTACTGGAAACCAGCCAAGCAATTACCGAGCGGCTGTTTGCCAGAACTGAGAAAATTAAGGTACAGTCTCACGGCTAAAGCTCACCGGAGCCCCTGCACAGTTGCTGGTGGGCATCAAAAGGGCTTGTTTCTGCTTCCTCAGGGTGTCAGTTCCACAGCTACATGCCTGCAAATGAGCACCATTGTGTTGTGGGAAGGGAAATCCACAGCTACAGTTCGACGATCACAGAAGTGTGCGGGACTTGTTTGCGCCCATCTTGCCCTGCCCAACCATGATGCATTTTCTAAAATGGAGCTGACAAAGGATGCCAGGGCAGCGCAGCCAGAGCTGGGGCTTCACCCCAGGGCATGGTTGAGTGCACAGAAGGGAGCCATCTCGCTGAAGCTAAGCAGGCACGGGTATGGTCAGCGTTTGGAGGGGGGACCGCCCGGGCACCCCTTCTCCTTTTTCCTTCAATCGTTCCCAGCATCGGGCTTTTCCAGGGAGTCCTTCCTTCCCATTAGGAGGCCAAAGTATCGGAGCTTCAGCTTCAGTATCTGACCTTCTGAACAGCAGTCAGGGTTGATTCCCTTTCGGATTGTCTGCTTTGATCTCTTTGCAGTCCAAGGGACTCCCCAGAGTCCCTGAGAACGAAGGCAAGATAAAAATGTCAGGCAAGAATCACAATGACAAACATAATAAAAATTAACTCTAACCCAGCCCTGGTGCTTGGACGGCTTCCACCTGCCGCTCCTTCCCAATCCCCACTGCCCTGAGCAGCCTTTTGTGGGACCCGCGAACCCTCCAGGGGAGCAATTCATGATGTCAGGCCTCGTCCAGCATAGGCTTCAGCACCACGGACAGCTCTGCCACGAGTCGCCCCCTCTGCTGGCGCCACACCAGGCACACCGGCTTGGCCGGACCCCCCTCACCTGGGCTCTGGCCTGCGAAAGATCGAAGCAGGGCTGGATCCTCACCTCAGGGGACCTCAGCCTGCTCCCTGCTCTGTTCCAGATGTGGACGAGTGCCAGACCTTCCAGTCCAGCCCCCACACCCGCATCTGCCTCCACGAGTGCGTCAACCTGCCCGGCTCCTACCAGTGCGTCTGCCCCAGCGGCTACTGGATCCAGACTGACCAGAATACCTGCCACGGTGAGCCTGCTGGGGTACTGCATGCCAGTCAGGGTGCGGAGCAAGGATGCAGATGGGGAGCTGCATCACAGGGCTCCACCCTACCCGGCATTTAGGTTTTTATTTCATTTTGCGGGGCCGAACAGCCTGAGAGCACCCGGCTGAGCCCAGAGGTTTCCGCTGAACAGTCAAACATCCAAACCGGTCTCTCTGCTCTTTGCAAGATCTGGATGAGTGCGCTGAGAACCAGCACAACTGTAGCCATGGACAGTCCTGCGTCAACACCTTCGGAGGCTTCCGCTGCGTGCGCCCCGAGTGCCCGAAGACTCAGCTGAACACCAGCTACGTCAAGACTTCAGCCTGGTGGGTACAAGCTCCAAGCTTTGCTTGGGGGCCAACCTCAGACCAGAACTGGCCTGCCCGGGCCCAAATCTCTTTCACCCGTCCCCCCCCCCACCCAAAATCTGGTGCTCTCTTCGGTTTTGCAAAATTCCCTCCCTGTTCCAAAAGGTGCCTTTTCCCCATCCAAGCCTGAGTTCCTGCAAGAGGGTCAAGAGAAAATGTGCCGGTGGTTTTGTTATCTTTGACTCCCGGGCTGCCCTGCAAGGTCTTGCAAGCCACAAATCCTTCACAAAATGGACTTGCAGGGGGAAAGGGGATCGGGGTGAGGGGAACACGGCTTGGCCACCTGGGGACGCTCTGGGGCCGGGTTTGGCCAGTCACCCCCCGCTTCTGCCCCCGTGTGATGGGGTGCTGCAGCATCCCTTGCAGACAACACTTTCGGCCTGCCGGCCTGCCTGCCTGATGCAGGGAGGCAGGCGCCCTGTACTGGCCCTGGCTGAGGACCCCCTTCTGTCTCCTCACAGGCAGTGTGAGCGCAGCCCCTGCCCCATGGACAGCAAGGCCTGCCAGCGGGCCGCCCACTCCATCTCCTTCCACTACTTGCCGCTCCAGTCCAACCGCGGCGTGCCCAGGGTCCTCTTCAAGATGTCCACCAGCCGCTTTGTGGGGGACAGCCTGCGCTTCGCCATCCTGGGGGGCAACGGGCAGGGCAAGCTTGCCGTGCAGCGCTCTGACCAGCACACAGGGGAGCTGGTCCTCACCCGGCCGGTGGTGGGGCCGGCCACACTGCAGGCCGAGCTGGAGATGAGCGAGTACGCCCAGAAGAGCCTTCTGGGGAAGCACATCTTCAAGATCACGGTCTTTGTCTCCCAGTACGAATTCTGAATCAATTCGGAGCCTGGACCTGGAAGAACCCGCAGGGCTGGCAGGAAGATCCCCCCCAGACTCGGCTGAGTGCACGATGTGGGTCTCTCCCCGTGACACGCTGCGAGAGGGCCCCAGATGGGCTGCCTCTTAGAGTGTGCAGTCTGTGGATTTCCCCAGGCCCCATCAGGGAAAGGAAAGGGAAAAGGGCACCCTATATCTGCCCGCTTCTTCTGACCGACGCTGGGACAGCCTCCAAGCATCCTTGTAGTTAGAAAGTGCACTCCATCCGTGAGCCCATGCTGTTGGGGTCAAGCGGAAAGCGGGATTCCCTGGGACATGCAATCCACCGCCGCTGCTGCACAGGCGCGCCGCTTGTCTGGCATTCTCAGGCTGATGAAGACAAGAGCAAAGCTAGATTTTATGGAGCATCTCGGTAAGGTTGGCTCCCTGTCCTTGCACCTCCCATGCTGCCTGCAAGCAACAGGCAAATGCCAGCTTCCGGAGAGAGGAGCATGCCGGCAGATCCATCTTTCGGATGCTAGAAAGGATCTGCCTCCAGGGAAGATGCAGGGTGTGTCTTTCACCTTCCCACATTAGAAAGATTTTTAGATGCTCGAGCCTGGATTTTCAAAAAACACAAGCAGGCGAGTACAAGGTAGGAGCAAGCTCAGGAGAAACCACAATGCCAGCTTGGCGGAGGGACGGCGGTGGTAAATGCATCAGTTCACAGTGTTACAGCATCTGGGTGGGCCCAGGTGAAATTTATTCAACTTTCTGGAAAGAAATGCACTGCTTTCCCAGCTCTCGGCAGAGATTTCCAGCTTTTGGTTTTGGTTTGAATCGCCTCTGGACTATTCCATCATGTCTGCTATTGAACAGCACCAGCGCATGCTCTGGCTTAATACCAGAGGCAGAAAATACATGTATTAAAATTAGTCACTTTCTCAATGTTGGTAATAATTAAAACCCAACCTTGACTCTTACATTGCATGGAGAAATTGCTGACTAGTAAACTACATGTTGCAATTCTTGGGTGTGAAGCAAAGTCCCCCGTCAAACATCCCTACAGCTGGGGCAGTGAGATTTGGTGGGGCGGGCAGGATATGTGGACCCTTCCTGCCATCCGTATTCCAGCTCAAGACAAGACCCCCCCCCCCTTTTTCTGCCCCTACACAGGAACAAGCTTCTTTATTTCAGTCTTGCTATGGTCTGACATCAAAAGGATTCCAAATGAAACTAGCCCTGTCCTACAAGACGGGAAAATGAACAAATAGTATAATTCAGAATGCTATAATTAGGGGACCAGTATTAGAGTGGCTTTGAAAAACAGACACTCCAATTTGTCCTCACACTGAACTTTCCACCTAAACACATATAACTCTGTAAAAATGTTCTTGTGGCACATTAAAAACCAACCAATTCCTAAACCCATTAACTGAAACACTACTGAAAATGAGGGTGCATTGTCTGTAAAGCCCAAGGACAGACCAGAATTAGTTCACTTTAGGGGGAACTGTTCCAGGTTCAACACGACTTACAAAAATTCCTTTCCAAATAAGCAGAAAGGCTTTGAAAGGGGTGGGCGAGGCTGTTGCACATCACCCCAGCGCAGGCGAACTCGTACAGTCAAGGCTGCTTTCTTTTGCCATCGGGTATTCGCCCCGGCTGTAAAGAGGCTGGACTACTTTGAGGTGGCGTCAAGGCCAGAAGTGATATGCTTGAAATAACAAGAGAAAAGGAAGAACGGTAGAAACCGCCCTTCCAAAGCACGGCGTGGTGTCACACTGGAGTATTAGGAAAACGTGGGCCCCCCCACAGTTCCCCCAAAGCAAGCTCCTGGACAGGAGTGGCCGCTGTCTCAGGAGCAGGGCGCAGCGCCTGCCCCCCCCCCCCCGGGACAGGGGCCCTCAAGCGCCACGCTAGTGACACACACGGCTCGGCTCGGCCCTGCTCTGCAACGCACGCTGCCGCCACTGCTCCATCTGGTAAAAACCTGCCAGATCAAGCTGGAGTGGGGAGGACGCAAAGCAAGGCTGCGCTTGGGAGCGTCTGGGCCACCCCGGCGCCCTCTGAAACTGTCCCTGCCCAAAGGCAGCGAGGCGAGTCGTGGCCGCCGGCATTTGCCCTCGGGGTCACTGTGGGAGCTTCCCACAGCTCTGATCCGGCGCGTTTCCACTGATCTGCTCCTCGGCCATGCCGGCGAGAAACGAAGAGCCGAAGGCAAAACGCCTGGAGGGGCCTGTCCAGATGGGGAAGGCTGTTCTTGTGAATTCATGGTGGAGCCCGATTCCAAGGGCTTCCGAGCCTCACCCCGGCCACCACGCCAGGATCCCGCACAGGGCCCCGAACGCTCACCCACCTTTGTCAACCCAGCCAGCCAGTCGGCAGCCCCCGGCACGAAGGCACGGAGCCGGCGACGGAGGCATCACCGGCAGGGAGCACCGGCAGCACGTTGCCACGCACGGGTGGTCACGCCCAGAACCCGGCTGGGCCCTGGAAACTCACGGACTTGCAGCCACAGTAGTTAAAACAATGCTTTATTGAGATACAAACCAGGTCGTGTTGAAAACCGACACGTAACGAGAAGGACCTGCAGGAACGCTCGTCACTTGGAGAGGGCGGGAAGCGGGAGCCCCCTCGTGCGCATCAGGCCAGCGGTCCGGGGACTGGCTTCCGCCAGGAGAAAGGGGCTTCCCGCAGCATCTGCTTCCCGCAGTCCGCACACGGCCGCTCCACAAAGGCAGGGCACCGGCCCTCCGCGTGCGTCAGAAGGGTTGCGGGAGTCTGCCGCGGCCCCCGCGATGGCCTGGCAGCAAAGAGCCACGGGCGAGGCGGGATGGAGGCGAGGCCTCCTCTGTCACGAGCATAAGGCACGCCGGAGGAGAGGTCTGCGCAGCTCCGGATCTCCGGGGCCCCTTCCTCAGCAGAGGTGGGGGCACAAGCCTTTCGCGCTTATGCGGATGACGCACTGAGCAGTGCTGAAACATACCCTCGCCCATTTCAGAGTCGATCCTGAACGATCCCTGGAGGAGGGCGGCATTCCACATCAACGATGCACTGGCACATTTAAAGTGCTTCTGAGGATACCAGAGGAGCGAGTCTTGATGTGCTGATTTTGGGAGCGGGGGGTGGGGGAATCTGTGCGGAGGTCACTGCTCCAAAGCATAGGAGGTCCAGGCACATACAGCTGAGGCCAAAACCCTGCGGGGGGGCACAGAAGTCGAGGGGGGTTGGGCTGGGATGCAGCCAGCTCGTGCCCCTGCCCAGCAAACTGCAAGAAGGGATGAGGAGGGGCCAGCCGCATCTCCTTCCTGCGAAATGCGCCATTCCGAAGCGAGGAGAGCTGGGTGCAGAATTAGGTGCGCGAGGACTCAGCACAGGTGTGGGCTTTGCTCTCATCTCTGGTTCAACAGCTCCAGCAGTTTTTTGGTAGCATACAACCCCCCCCCCACACACACACACACACACAACCTGCTTAATGAGAACCCAAAACGGGGTGAGGGAACACACCAAGAGAAGTTCTGCTTTCAAACCACTTTAAACTCATGGCAAAAAAAGACTTTTCTCATTTCCATATGCAATAAATGGGAAACATTGCAATAACAGAAGGAGATTCAGTCTAGTTGGCAAAGCGGAAAGGAGAAGACCACTCAGGTGCTGCATTTCAGATGCAGCTCCATGTACACTGGAGTGAAAACGCCTTCTGAAGGAAGCAGCCATCCTTTACAAGTGGCAAGAACAAGGAAACCTGGCTCCTTTAGCCTAAGGAAGTTTCCAGCCTACCTAAGGAACAAGCAAGCTTCTTATGTCTGAAACGTCTGTTGATGCAACCCCTCCAGGCTGGCAAAAGGCTTCTGTTGCAGCCTCAAGTCTGCTTCCATCAAGAAGGCTCAAGCACAGCCGGACGTCCCCAGGCGTGCCTGTCCCGGAATTACAGGCCGCCTGGCAGCCGTTTGTCTAACCAGCAGCGTCGGAGTGTGAGAGAACGAGAGACGGTCAGCATCTTGGGATGGAAGCCGCATAAAAATACAAGGAGGAGTCTGCTTTTCAATGCCACGTGCAATGAGCCATCCAGGGACACACACAAAGAGGCATCGTGTAGCAGGCGGGATGAAAGCGGAGGGGAAGGACACAAGGCCATTTGCCAGCACCATTTCAAGCAGCTTTTCCAAAAAAAGTGGCATCGAAGGACAGCGATTCAGCTTCCGGGAGAGGAGGGAGAATGTGCAAGCACGCCCACGCTGCTCTGACTCCGTCCCTCGCGGCTGCTCGCCATCGAGACTGAGCCGCCACCCACCCGGAGGCGCCCGCGGGCCGAGTGCAAGCTCGGCGATCTCCCGCGAGGAGCTGCAAGGAGCTGCCCAGCCAAGTCGCTCCGAGGGCACTGAGACGGCCGCACGCGCTCCCTCCACACACACAGCGCTCCCGGGACGGTTCCCCCAGGAGGGGGGCTCTGACTCGACTCAACGGCCGGTGCTGGCCAGGAGCAGCAGGCCCAAAGCTAGCCCCTCGCCAGCAGGTGCGGGTGAAGAAGCGTGGGCCAAGGGGGGTCACCCACGGGCTCAGCAGCTCATGTGCTCCCGCAAGCATGTGCAGACATCCCGGCTGAAGCCCGGTCGGCTCCCGACGCACCGGAGAAGCTACGGACCCTCCAAGCAAAGGGCAGGGTCCAGCACGGCCAGGGCACGCTTCCCAGCCAGGTCCCAAGAGTGCTCCATCCCCAGCGCTCGGCAGGCGAAGGGACAACACGGTCACTCCTCTCATTATCCCTGCCCCGGCCCCGAGACGTGCCCGAAAGTGACACACAGACAATGCAAGAGGGAGGGAGGGAGGGAGGGAGGGGGTCTGATCCGAAGGGCCACCCCCCCATCAGGGACGCAAACCATTTTCTGTGAGATTCTCGCCCTGAGCCCCCCAGCAGAGGGGCTGGGCCGGGCTGCTCAGGCCTGGCCCTCCCCGCCGTTGCTCAGAGGTCGCACCGCCTCCTGGAAAACACCTCCAACGCCAGCTGTGCCCTCCCGAGGGGAAGCCGTGAGCAGCGAGGGGGGCACCTGTCACGCGGGTGCGCTGCCGGCCCCGGGGGCGACCGGATTAAGCGCCGCCAAGGGAGAAGACGTTCCGAGGTCCCGCTGCCTGGACTTGGAGGGCGGGCTTGGGTAAGGAAGGCCTGCTCTGGGCCTGTCCGGTCGGAAAGCCCTTTCCTGGCCTGGAGCTCAGGCCTACCGCCGGTACAGGGGCCCACCCAGGGAAGGCCATGAGATATGCGTGTGAGGGCAGGCAAGGGTCCAAAATGTAGAAAATGTCACGGGCTGAGGAGACCGCACGACAGCCCTCCCCACCCTGCCACCCCCAGGCGCGTGGGACTGCAACCCCCATCGCCCTCATCCGCTGACCTGGACGACGGGAGCCGCAGTCCGACACACCCGGAGGGCGCCGGGGGGGGGCAGGCAGCCCCGCGAAGCGCCGGGCATCCAGCCGGCCCACGCAGCCCTACTTGCCCTGGAAGCCCGTCAACTCCATCTCGTCCTTGTGCCGGCGCTGCGTGAAGAGCGCGCTGAAGGGGTACAGCTTGGCCTTGGCCTGGAAGCGCTGCCCGGCGATGTCGATCTCGTACTCGGCCCGGGTCACGAAGTCGGGCGTCACGATCTGCTCCTTGCCCGTGTCCGGGTCCAGGTTGTGGACGAAGCCGAGACAGACGTGCCGCTCCAGCGTGTAGCTGTAGGCGCTGCTGGTTGTCCTGCCGACGTACTGGCCGTTCCGGTAGATGGGCTCCCCCCACCAGGGCCAGGGGTCCAGGTCCGTGTCGTGGTCTTCCAGGATGAGCATGGTGAAGCGCTTGCAGACGCCCTCCTGCTTCTGGCGGAGCAGCGCCTCCCGGCCCATGAAGTCGGTGCCCTGCGGGGAGAGAGGGATGCCACCAGCCGAGCCACAGAGGGCCGGGCAACCCTGGCTGGCTGGCTGGCTGCGGGCCCCAGGCTTGGCGTTCCGCACCCCTCTTATCCTGGGGCTTCTGGGGGGTGGGGGGTAGTGCCAGCTGGGACGGCCAAGGAATTTGCTTGGACAAAGGCACCCCAGCGGCCCATCCCGAATCAGTGCTTGACTCTGCTGTGAAGGGCGGGATGTAAAAGCTTTAAATAAATAACCGATAAACACTCGAGCTACAGGGAATGTCTGTGTGCACCAGAGTCCGAGCTCTGCAGACATAAACAAGCACGGAGAGGACTCGCGCAGGACGAACACGCCTTTGAGAGGAAAGCGCGCCCCGAGATGCCCGCGAGGGTCGAACCACTCGCAAAAAGTGCACGTTGGCGAAGGCCCATGAAAACGGGGGCAGGAGAAGGCACGTGCCTCGAGCGACCCACCGCGCCCTGCGCAGACTGTTCCCAGCAGGCAGAGGAGTGGCCTGGCTACCGGGGAAGGCCAAATGGCCCATCCACTGCCGGCACCCCCCCACCCCCGAGCAGCCACGCTCGTTCCCACCCCACAAGGCACTTCACGCACCTTCTCCAGCTTCACCCGGAACTCACGCCCACACTCCAGCGGGGTGGTGAAGGCGTCCAGATCTTGGCCCCAGAACGCAAAAAACTTCTCGATGCGCAGGCTGCGAAGCGCGTAATAGCCGGAGTTCCGGATCCGGTACTTCTGCCCCACGCTCATCACCTCATTGTAGACGTGCAAGGCGTACTGCAGGTGGAGACAACCGTGGCATGCAAGCACCTGCGGTGGAGAGCAACGCTGCCCGCCGGGAGGGTGGGCGGCCGGGCGGCCAGCCGTGGTCCGACTGACGGCACCAAACTGCCCACTGCAGGTCTTAGTAAAGGGCCGGAGGGAAAGGGCTGACGAGCTCGGTCCAGGGCGAGGACGCCGGACAACTTCCAGCTCAAGGGCCAAATTCAATTCTGGGGGCATTCTCAGGGGCTGCATTCCAGAGGGTGGGGAGGTCAACATGCCTGCATAGTTTAACTCGACGCTTTGACTTCTGGCAACCAAGGAGAGGGATTTCTGCCTCTTGGGGGGCGGGGGGAGCTAGGAATCCACCAAATGAAAGCGGTACAGTGAGGCTGAGAGTCGAGGGGGGGCATGCGCCCTGTGGGCTTGACGTTCACCCACCTGGTCAGGGCTCCTGTGGGTCACAGCCCCTCCTCCTCACCTCATGAAAAGGGGAGGACAATCTGACGGGTGCTGACCACTTATGGCTGGCTCAGGGAAAGCTTTGCTGGCCACTTGAGAGATGGAAGGAAAAGTCCATGTGGACGTTTTCCAGGTCTTTGGGCCAGCCCATGCCCGATTCCAGAGATTAACAGCCTATCTGCACAGCAAGTTTGAAATTCAGCCAGCCTGCTTTTGGGGTACATGTTACGGGAGCTAGGAGGAGACCATCAGCACGGAGAACCGTGCTTGAAGCATATTCCAGGTTGGCCGAATCCTATATGCATACTGTTCAAAGCCAGTCAGCATCTTTCCCGGGAGTCCTAATTAATCCAGGCAACCCAAGGCCTTTTTCAGGGAACGTCTGAGCTTCCCAGGCATCAGGCCTTCCCCAGCGGCTCTCGGAAGCCTGACCATGCGCTGTTTAGCCAACTGTGTCTCCAACGTAAACAAACGCGCCGTTCCTCACACAAGAGGAGCCTTGTAGGGACTCTGGTGTCAAGCACTCCGTAAGCAAATCTAGAAGCGTTTATTTGTAGGTCGCACCCTGGCCAGCCATGTCCGGAGACAAATATCAAATGTTCTGTGACTGCACAGCCAAGGGGCGGGCTCTCCATGGATACGCCATCAGCTCGGCTGTGAATCACTGGCACACCAGCCTTCTGCGCAGGGGGACGAAACTGCTCAGCAAAGATTCTAGGGTGGCTGTCCCCAACCTGGTGCTCTCTAAACAGGCTGGACTTTAAGGGGAACAGTTCCATTGGCAGCGAGGGAGTCGTCGTCCTTCCATCTCCCACAAGCTTAGCCCGATTTCACCAGGCAATTCCCAGCTTCTTAGGCGAGTCAGCACATCACCAGAGGAGATGAAAAAACCCCTCCAGACGTTGCTGCACGGGGTTTAGGGAGAGGCTGGGAGCTGCAGGCCAACCCTTCTGCAGGACATCAGAGCAAGAGGAACGGGACTAACCCCACCATCAAACGGGAGGGACCCCTGGCAAGGGCCACCTAACAGGCTGGATCCAAAGGGGCAGCACTGTAGGACAATCTGAGTGGGTTACCTCCTGCTCACAACTTGGCATGAGAGCAGTACAGATTCAAGTCCAGCCTGGTGGATCCCCATCTGACTTATTTATGAACTTTAAAAAGCAGGGCAGATGTGCTGCCGCTGGCGAGTCCTTCTAAGCCGGGGTGTTGAACCTCTTTCAGTCTGAGGGATGAATTCCATGCGGGAGCAGCTCTCAGGGGCCACGCGCCAGGGGTGGGCGGGCCTGGAGGAAAACTGGACAGGGCCAAAACACCAGCCCAATTTAGCACGAAGCCTTTCCTGCTGGTTATCAAGCCTTAGTGCAAAAGCCCCAAAACCACTCTTGGGAGAAAAAGCGTGTGGCCACCTGGGAAACGCAGGTGAGGGCCAGACTGCGACCCCAGGTGGACAGCATCAGACCCACAGGCCAGAGGGCCAGCACTGCTACTGCGAGCCAAGTCTCTCCAGCCTAAACTTTGGACCACATCTGGGCAAAGTGGGAAATTGATCTCCTTGCCCAAAGAGCCCCCCCTCCCCTGGCAAATCGGCATGTTTTGGTCAGAACACAAGGGCTGCTCACCTCAATGGGGATGTAGAGCATGAATCCCGGCTCTCCGGTGTGTGTCATGCTCATGACCCGGATGCCGTTGGCGTAACCCACGCTCATCTCCTGCAGAAACGGGGACCAGAGGGAAAGGATCCAGTTGGCACAGCTTCGGTAAACATTTAAGGCAAGGCTCAGTACAGAAACCAAAGGAGGCGACCCTCCACCCGCTCCGGGCCATGCTGCTCAACCTGCAGGGATGCCAACTGGGGTCCTGCCCCAGAAGGGACCTGATCCGACCATCGGCTCTCCAAAGGGGCCTTCAGGGAAGGCCTGGAAAGCTGGCTGCTCGTGGGGCAGGCTCCCTTCGGCTCAGCAGCCACATCTTTTGCTCGCTGCAGATGGTTTCAGGCCAGGGACAGGGAACGACCTGCCCTTCGACACCACGGACGGCTCGCTGCTGAACGCGCTGGCCAGTGCTCAGGCGAAAGGCCGGCCAAAGCGCACACGGCCCTTCTCTTCCAGCTGCGAGAGGGCGAGACGCTCCAGTCCCCACTTGGCTATGAGGTTCACCGAGTGACTCCAGGCCAGACCCTACCTCACAGGGTTGTTGTCATAAGGATAAAATGGAAAGTGGGGGAGCCTTTCAAGCTGTCCTGGGTCCTCTCAGGGCGAAGAAAGGGGGGATGCAACAGTAATGTGAGGAGTTGCTGCTGCTGCTGTTTCAGGGAAGCTCTGCCTGCCTGCCTGCCATCGCTGCTCCTCCCACGCACCGTTCCAGGATCCCTGGGAGCTTTCCTGGGCGCATCAGAAGCACCAGCTCAGGTAAGCCCACTGCTGCCAACCACGGAATTCCGCAGCGGGCTACGCAGCCCCCCCACTCAGCTCATCTGATGTCGAACCCAAATTACAGCTGGTCAGCCCCGCACTTGCGTCAGGTGACCTGCTCACTGCCAGGGTGCGGGGGGGCTTAAGCTTTGGCAAGCGGGACTCGCTGGGTGACTTTGGGTGGGCTGCTTCCTCTCAGCCTAACCTACCTCGCAGGGCTGTTGTTGTATGGATAAATGGAGCTCTGCAAGCCACTCGGGGTTCCTCACAAGGGGAAAAAGGGCAGGACACATGTGCAATGTGGTCACAGTAAGAAGTCCACCCTTGCTCAACCCCGAGATTAAGGGCGGGCACTCCCCCCCCGTGCAGCACAACAGGGGGGTCCCTTTGGATTGCCCTTTTATTCCGACCCCTTGGATAAATCTCACTCCCCGTACACGGCGGCCCTCAAAAGCAGCTTTCCTGAGAAAGCTGCACCTATTAAACGCACCAAAAAAATAAACGCTTGGATTTCAGAAGCCTGCTAGAGCGACCCCAGGCTTGGCCAGGCTACCGTCCGAAGCACATCTGGCAGGGAACGGGCCTCCTTGGCGGCTGCTCCCAGGCTGCGGGGGGGAGGTCAGCCCACCCCGTTCTTGCAGAGGTGAGCAAAGGCAATTCTGGTCAGTGGGCACCGTTCGTATGTGCCCTGTTGTTTCCAACCCAGGTTGTAACTCTTTACTTCTAGGGTTCCAGCGATGAACTCAAGTGGCATTTCTTATTTCAAAGGAAGAAACAACGAGGGCACGAGGCTCTTCGTTGTTGCTTTCCCTGCGAACAAGCTTTCCAGCTGGCAGCTTCCACGGCTGCTCCTCTGGAACGTGTCCCCAGGAGCAGCTTCCCGACTGCCCTGCCACTTCCGTCAACGCAGCCAGGATGCAACCCTAAATGCAGACGTGGGATCCCGATGCTTGTGGCACTGCGACGGGAATACCTCTTGCGAGAGGGGAGGGAAGGCCCTCCCGCTCTTGCCTGGTGGAGGGCCTTTGAGGCACAGGGTTTTGCTAGAGGTCAGCAACAGCTAGGAGGCCTCCTCTGCCCAGAGCGTTCTCCACCCACAGGGACCTGAGGAGGGAGACAGGATTCTGCCCGCAAACAGAAGAGCTGTGTATTTTGGAGAGAGGAGGGGAACGCTGAGAAAAGTGCACCTATTAAGCGCACCGAAAAAATAAATGCTCTGGTGTTAGAAGCCTGCCAGAACGACCCCAGGCTTTCCAAACCACGCAAATTTCCGCAGTGCACACAAGCTCCTCTTACAATTTGCTCGTGGCCAGCCTGCTCACGATCCATGCCGTAATTAGGGAAGAGGGAAGCGCCAACCATCAGAGCTCCCACTGTAGCCTTTCCAGCCAGCATTACAAAATGCACATTATGGCTCACTCCAGGAGAAATGGGATGAATGGGAGCGTGAAACAAGCCACTGCAGTGTGCACAGACACCAGCGTCGCGGGGTGAAGAGGAAGGCGCAGCTGGGCCGCCATCTGAGCGGGACGCTTTGAGCGGGAGTCCAGCACTGAGCAGGCTGCTGGACCCCACTGTTCACATCTCACCCCCACGGGCTGCCCCAGGCCAGGCGCGGCTCCCCGGCTGAGGCCCAGGTGTGATGTGCCAGAGAGTCAGTGGAGAGCTTGCAGCCCCCTTCTCACTCTGAGGCATAAAACTAATCCACTGACTCCGGGAGCCGCGCTTCATTGGGCCAAAGGCTTTCCCACGCTGACCTCCTGTCACACGGCGGCCGGCCAGATCCCACGTGGGAGGCGCAGGAGGAGGATGGAAGGGCGACAGCACCTGTTTGTGAATGATCTGCAATGAGGAGTGAGGAGCGAAGGGGCCCAGGGTGATGATTCCAAACTATTTGGGATGATTAAGAGCAAAAGGGATGGTGAGGAGCTCCAAAGGGATCGCACCAAGTTGGGATCAAAAGGGCAAGTGCAGGGCAGTTTGAAGATGGTGGGACAACTTCACGTCTCGGCCGAAAAGGTCTGAGCAAGCACAGACTGACCGAGAAGGGGGCCGCGGGGTGGGGAACACCGTGATGAAAATGCCGACCTGGGGCAGAGCTGTTGCAGAAAGGCAAGCTCCACGCCGGGCGTATGTGGGAAAGGAATCAAACACAAAGCTGCCAAAATCGCGCTCCCCTTATGCAAAGCTTTGATGTGACCACACCTGGAACATTGTGCTCCGTTCTGGTTGCCTTACCTGAAAAAGGGCGAACTGCAGAGAAATGCATGTTGACATGATCGAGGGACTGATTAGCTTAGGAAAAGGGCGTGAAGCGGGGAGACGTGGCAGAGGTGTTTAAAATAACGTATGGTGTGGAGAGGTAGGGGGGCAGAGATTTTTCTCCCTCTCCCAAAACGCTCGAACCCAAAGGGACCGCCCCATGAGGCTGCAGGTGGGAGCAAGGTTCGGACAGAGAAAAGCAAGTCCTTCTTCACACAGCGCATAAACTATAGAATTCGCTGCCACGGGAAGTGGTGATGGCTTTAAAAGGGGAGCGGACAGATTTGTGAGGGGCTGTCCATGGCTATGACCCTCGCTGGCCGTGGGCAACCTCCCTCACCAGAGGCGGCACGCCTGCAGGCACCAGTGGCCGAGGAGCTGGGCAGGAGGAGGTCTCGCACCCGTCCTGCTGGAGGGATCCTGCGGGCAGCCGGCTTGCCACGCTATGCGCAGAGTGCTGGGCTGGACAGACCTTTGGCCTGGTCCAGCAGGACTGTTCTTCACTTTCTTCAGAACCACACGCCACTGCCCGAGTGCAAGGCGAAGGATTAACCTTGTGTGAATGACCCGAGGATCTTAAATCTGGGGCACATGCAGAGGGATATGGTACTGTGCAACACTCGCCATTTAGCTGAGCCTCCTAGATGTGTCTTTATTATTCGTTAGTTATATTTATGCATTAATTTTCTCCCTACTCCAGTGTTTTCCTGCAGGGAAACGAAGGTAGCTTAGAGAACCCTTCTTCTGTGTTATCCTCCTAACAACTATGTTGGACCTGAGCCCCACGACTGGCCCAAAGGCACCTGGGGAGAAGCTTTCCGGCCAATGGGGACAAAAACCAGGGGTCTCTTGAGCCCGAGTCCACCCGCCACCCTGACTGTCTGCATGAGAGGTTAGCAGGTTTCTTCTGCTGATGAGCGTCTCCAAACATCCCTCCCTGGTTGTTAAGATCTTGGACAGAGGTCCTCATTTACTCGTAAGAGTCTCTTCCGAATATGTGAGGGGGGTTACGGATAGAGGGAGGGCTTTCTCTTCGGTTGCACCCCACCTGTGGAATATGTTTCCCAGGACGCCTGCCTGGTGCCATTGCCGCTTTCTTTTCAGGGCCAGGTGAGGCCTTTTCATTTCCCAGGTGGCTAAATGGGGTTTTAAGATTGCCAAATGCCTTGCTGTCATTTTTCTCATTCATTTGGCATCTCCGGGCTGTTCTAAATGGCTTTCACTGTATTGTTCTTTTCTTGATAATAGTGTTGGCTTTATTGTATTTTATTGCAAACCATCCAGAGAGCCCTGGGAGATGGAGCAGTGTACAAATGGGAAACAGCAGCAGCGCCACATACCTTGCAAAAGAGGGAGGGAAAGTGCTCCGGGGTCATCGGGGCGTAGGACAATTCTGCGAGGACGTCCACAGCACGTGGGCCAATGAGATTCAGAGCTGGATTGGGCAAAACACAACGTCAGCTGATGGGCAGGCACGGGACACTGCACCATGCATAAAGCAGAGCCCCAAACAAGCAAGCAAAATGACCACCAAAAAAGCACCTGGTTTTTAAATCTATACAGATTTAAATACAGGAGGTTAAAAGATTAGGAGAAATCTCACGTTTAAAATGAAAAATCCTCCAACTGACTTGCAGAAGCACAGGAATTAAAACAAAATTAAAAGGATTAAAGGAAAAACAAGTATTAAAATGCCAAATGCTTTGGTGTAAAACACCAGCTTGGGTCACAAAGCTGAGTCTGCTACAGGATGCAGCAAATGTGCAGAATGCAACAGGGGAAAACCCCCTCACTTCACCTGTGTACTTCCAGGTGACGTCCTCCAGGAGCAGGCCGCTGTCGTCCGGCATGTGCTTCTTCAACCAGGCCCAGCAATGGACTTGCTGGTCTGTGGGGGAAATCATGAAGAAGCTGGAACACAAACCGCATGGCAGTGATTAAGCGCCCCGAGGGGTCGCTCTGGGAGGCCAACATGCTGCCTGCACGGGGGAGTCCGCTGCACCCCTACACAGGAGTACGCAAGGTTCACCCGAAATGTGCCCCGTGCCTGGAATGCGCAGGCACCAACTCCACCCACCGGGCTCTGCGGGAGAGGAAGGAGACCTGACGCACTTGGGACGGCCCTCCAGAGCAGGTCTGGGAGGCGCATGTTGTCTCCCTAGGAATCCACCCTTAAATAATTGCGTCCTAAGTTGCATTGGCCCTTTTTTAAAAGAGAAAGCCTTCTCAGACATGTAACGGCAGCAGCAATAAAGGGTGAGATACGTGCATTTCAATGCTAATGTGCAATGTTTCCGTTCCGAAGCTGCTTGGCGTCCAACCCCGCGTGTCGCACTCTCCATGCCTGCAAGCCCCCGAGCCCAGCAGGCTGGCGCGCACCCTGCACAGGGGCAGCGGGAGACGCGAACGCCACCCCCGCTCCCGCCATCCCAGCCAGCCCTTCTGCCCATCTAGCCAGAAAGATCTGGGCAGGGGAGACAAGCCTCTGGACGGACCGCACGGGGGCCTCTGGATCCCCCTCTCCCACCAGGATGCTCCCTCGCACCCTCTCTGAAGTCGTGCCCCTGACCTCAGCAAGGAACTGCAGCGCCAGCCAGTGTGGGTCTTTCCACGCTAGCTGTGGGGGGCAGAGGGGGGCGCTGAACCACAGGTGCATGCGACCCCGGGGCCGGGATCCTGAACTCTCCTACGGCACCTCCGACATGGCCCCGGGGCCCCGGAGGGCTTTTCTGGAGGGGCCTCCACGGGAAACGTGCACACGCGTCAACGAGGGGGACGCGTACCTGCGCTTGCTGAGGCGGACCACGCTGCAGTCGTTCTCGTACCCGCCGTTGTGGTTGAGCATCCCCGTGTGGACGATGTGTCCCACCGGCACGTCCAGGTCGTTGGAGAAGAGATACTGCAAGACCTCCAGGGCCTGGTCCCCTGTGGACTGCAACGTGGGGGAAGGGAGGGGCCAGACAGGGAGGGTGGTGGTGTTACGCTTTGTGGGGAGATTTGGGGGAGATTATGTCCATCTTCCATAAAGGAGGGGGCCCCACACTTTGAGCCGGGGTGCCCACATTTGGAATTTCTGGAGTGTGAGGGACGCTCTCCCAAACACCTGCCACGGCAGCAGAGCTTGTCCCTTCACAAGACGGCTGCTCTTTGTAAAAGGAAATTAACTTGGCTAAGCACGTCAGGCAGCAAAAATTCCTTTGGCACGCTGGAAACAGCAGGGCATTTTCCACCTAAGCGTTGCCCTAAGAACCGAAGCACCAGGAAGAGGTGGGCGGTGCATTCCAGAACACAGCGCTGCTCGTTTGAACTCCCGGCATGGGCTCCAACGGCCATTTATCAGAAGTCATCCCGACAAGTGTTTGGTCAAGGAAAGGTGGCGCTGGGGCCAAGACGCCCAGGCAAAGCTTGTCCCTGCAAGGCCCAAGAGGACGCCTGCTCAGTGGGAGGTGAGCTCACGGTGCTCCAAGAACGGCTGATGCACACACACAAGTAGAAGATGCACTCCCGCACGAGGGAAAGCGAGCATACGGCCATGCGCCAAGTCCAGGCTGAAGGACCACCAGCACAGAGCCAGTACAAAGGGACACACTGAGTCCCCCATGCTAGAACGCAGGAGTCTCTGGATAAAATGTGCCCACCAAACCAAAAAGGCTGGCTGCTGCCCGAGAGGGTTAAATTGCCATTGGCATTATTTTATCTCTCTTGGCAAAGAGTCACAGCCAAAAGTTGCTGGCAGTTTTTAATCAATCAGCCTTTGCATGAGCCAAACAAAGGTCGGAAGACTTGGACACGGAGCAAAACTAAAAGACCATGTGCCAAGGAGCGGACCCATTTTCATTTGAATTTTTTGTTCTGCGTTTATACCACCCAAAAGCCCAAGCTCCCCAAGTTCTCAAACCAGAAAAAACCCCATACAACATAGTATAAAACCGTTATAACCTTAACGTATAAATAAGACGAAAGTAAAAATCCTGAGTAACACACAGCCAGTCTCCAAAAACTTATGAACGCACCGTGTTTCTTTAAAGTGAAAGGCTAACAAATCTGAGGAAATGCAGTGTTTTCACCTGGTGCCACAAAGATCACGAAGCTGGCACCAAGCGGGGCTCCCTGGGAAGTGCAAGACCCCACTGGGGGCCACCCCTGAAAAGGCCCTCAGGCTTAGGACCCCTGACCTCCCTCATGCGGCAGAGGAAGGCCCCGGAAATGACCCCGGGAGAGGAAGCGGGTGCTGCCCCTCCTGCACACTTACGCTTATTTCGAACTTGGTGAACGAGGACATGTCAATGACGCACACGGCCTCCTTGCAGCACCGGACCTCTCCCCCCACGATGTCAAACCAGTCCGGCTTGTAGAAGGTCTTGCTCTGGTCGAGGGCCAGCAGGTCTGCAGAGGAGGAAGCAGGAGTCTTGGGCGGGGTCGGCGGGGTGCCGCCTCCACCCCTCGGGGCTGTGCGCGGCCCTCACCTTTCCCAGGAGGGACAAAGAACTTGGCCCGCTCAAAGCCGTGCTTCTCCATCCACCTGGCGCCCTGGGCGTCGAGCCGGTCATAGAGGGGCGACGTGCGCAGCTGCCGGCCAGTCTGGAAATCCCAGCGGGGAACCTTCAGGTCGAAGATTAGGGCTGGAGGGAGCACAGCAGCACGTGTTGGAGGGAAGCCTTCTGGTTCAGGCAGCACATCCTGCACGAGCCCCCCCAAAAACCCCCCGGGACCGTGAACAGAAACATCCCAACCCAGGAAGGAAACGCCACAATACCTTCCGCACTTCGAAAAGGCTATGTTTAATCTAAATCTGCCAGCCTGGCCTGCACAGGTGTAACGCTTCCTGACCTCCAAACGGATTTTACGGGATTGGCAGCACGCAGTGGTGTCTTGCACCGCTTCCCTGCACCTCTGCCTGTGTCTCAAGGCTCGCTCTGGCTGTGGGCAACGTCCACCCAGCGTTCAGAAGCAGGTTTGTAGGCTGCTTGCCACCTCTGGTGGAGAACTGGCCACGGCTGATGCTGGCCAAGCTGGCTTCTCTCCCACCCTCATTCCAGTGCAGGAAGCAGAACGCAGGAGCACGGCTGCCCGAGAACCAGCAAGTCCACCTCTTGGCACGTGCCCCAGGAGGAGCTCTCCCACTTGATCATCTGCCTGCTTGATCACGGGAAGCCCCGCACAAAGCTGGGTCCCGGCGGGCAGGCTGGGTGGATCGCACGGAGGGCTGCGTGGGGAGGAGGGCGGTCGCCCCACGCTCAGCTCCCCACCTCAGAGACCCTCCTCCAGAACCGACCGCCGGCCCCGGCTTCCCCAGCCCGGCACGCGGGCCAGCTGCCAGCACACTACTCACGCATCACTTCCATGACGCGGTGGCGGAGGAAGGTGCGGCTGCTCTGCAGAGCCCCAAAGCGCTTCAGGTCCAGGGGCCACACGTTCTCGGAGGGGGAGCCGTTCACCATCCATTCCGCCAGGTACCTGTCCGGGGGTGGGGTGCAAGAAGGGCCAGGAGATCAAGCGGTGCAGGGCAAAAGCGCGGCTCGAGCCGAGCCGAGCCGAACCATGCCAGGCGCTCCTTGGCCCGAATGGCCTGCCGGGAGGCAGAGCGGGGAAGGTGTGGCGGCTCCTCCAGCCGTCCAGAAAACGCAGCGCCCCCCCCCCCGGACAGTGCTGGACCAGCAGCACATGCGGTGGGGCATCCTCCGCGGCAGCACCCATCAGGCGAGCTTGCAGGCCAGGGGCTCCCTCCCCACAGGCTGGCCGCTTCATCCTGCATCCGCCACCTGAAGCAGCCGTCTCGCTCCGCCTAATGGTGGGGCCGGCCCTGACAAGCCCCATAACCATAAGGGCACAAGGAAGGAGGCAGGGTCATCTTGCTAAAGGTTCTGTATTCCGAGGGAAAGCAACCTGCCCATGTCACAGACTTCTGCTGCAAAGCTGTGTCAGCAGCGGAAGCCCCCCAAAATTACTGGGCTATGTGGGTTTCTATTAGCTGGCCAAGAGGCTAGTTACCCTGGCATTGCCAGAAAGAATGTCAACATTATGCTATGAACATGGCAATGCAGGCTCTGCGCCAGCTTATAACCATTCAAAAATTCTTCTGCCATGCAGGGACGCGTTACCTGCTAACCAGACCCCTCCCCTAATGAGAGAGATGGGGGGCACTTACTTGCCTGCTCCCCCACCAAAAGACGTGCCAGCCGAGTTCATCCCTGCCAGGACAAAGTAGCCCTGGATGCTGGGGGACTCTCCCATGATGCATCGCATGTCCGGAGTAAAGGATTCTGGGCAATTCACCAGCTGCATGATCTCCAGGCCCTCCAGACCCGGCATCCTTCGCAGAAAGGCGCTCAGCAGCGGCTCTGCAGCCCCAAGACAAGAGAAGGCCAGTGACCACGCAACTTTCACCACGTCGCAGGGAAGGGTGGGGTCCGGAAGGCACCGCTCCAAATCCCCCCCGCCCCCCCCCAGAAGCCTGTTCCCGCTCGTCATTTGGGCTGGGTGGCCAGAGACCCACATGCAGGAAGAGGTCCTCTTGGGCTGACACAAGAGCTGACACTTGCAGGAATCCCCACGTGCATGGGCACTGCCGGTCACAGGATCCCCAGTGACGTGCGCTAGTGCATACGCGCAAGCACACGTCGCGAGGTAATCTGGAGGAGCCGGTTCCCCTTACAGCAGAACGTGCCAGCGACTTTCTCATCCAGTCAAACACGACCCAAGATTCCAGCAAGCTTGGCACCCAGAGAATTCTCTCAAACCAGTGGGAAATGTTCCTTTCGAAGGCAGATCGCTTGTAGGCTTTGAATCATTGGGAAGGGGAGAGGCTGGAAAACTCCCTCTGTGTGATGATTAAGCTGAGGGAAGAACCCTGCCTTGGGGCCCACCGGCCCACTCCCAGGGGCAGCTCGCCGGAGAGGGACCAGAAACGCCTCCCGTCCCTCGCCACTGACAGGTGAGCTCCCTCCCAGAGGCCCGCCGGCATACCGAAGTGATCCCAGTCCTCTTGCAGGTTGTGGATCTCCAGCTGGTTCCGCCCCTCGGTAAAAATGGGCTTGGGGTTCTTCTCAAACCCACCGGAGAGGATGCCGCCCTGCCAGCTGCGGATGTAGATCCTCCCGTCGGGGTCAACAATGCCTGCGTGGGAAAGCAGGAAGAGGCCGTTGCCGGGGGGCAGATAGGCCGGGGGGCGGCAGCCGCCTGCAAGCGCCACATCGGCAATAGAAATTTGTGGAAGGACCACCCGGCTCCCAGCTGCCCGGGGGTTTCACACACCAGCTCTGGCATGCTTGCCTCCTTTCCTGCAGGCCAGGGCAGTCAGGCTAGCTGGGGAGGATGGGATTTGTAGTCCAGTACTGCTGGAGGAAGGCTGGGGAGAACCTGGCATCCCAGCTCAAGCCCAGGCAGCCCGAAAACCTTTTCCTCCAGGCTCTCCTGTTGCTCCAACAGCCTTCTGTGTGCAGCAGGGGTGCAAGCTGTGCAGCCCCCAGTCTGGGGGGCACCTCCAAAGCTTTCCCAGTGGCTCCCCAGCCCCCAGCATCTGGAAGGGGAAGAAGGGAAACGCACCCATTTCCTGCCATAGAAGCCTCACTCCTAGAGCGCCCGTGGAAGGCATGCTCCAAGGTCTGCGCCAGACGCTCTAGGAATGAGGCTTCTGTGGCAGGAACCCGGCTGCCCACGCCTGGGAGAGCCTCTTTGCTGCAGGGGCTGCCGCAGAGTGAGTGAAGGCTGATGGGGAGCAGGGAAGTGGCGGCGTGCGGGCGAGAGAGGGGAGCTGTGAGCGGAGAGTCCGCGGGGGTGAGGAGGGGCGGATAAGCCCCAAGGAGGCGTGACGCGAGGGGCTCGCGCTCAGTTTGAATGGAAAGGCGGCCTGAAACGGGTGCGCGAACGCAAGGTGCCTGGGCAGCTCTGACGGGCGCAAGGACCGCTGGGCACACGAGGGCAGCCTCTGCCCTGCTCCGGCACTCTGGCAGCTCCCTCCCCACGAGCCAGAGGGGCTGCTGGCTCCGTCCCGGGCAGCCTCCCCTAGCCCTGCTCCTCGCCAGAACTCCCGGCACCCTAAACATTTCCTGGGGGTGCAGTGGTGGCGCCCCCCCCATTTCCAGGGCAGCCGAGGGCCCCCGCGGGCCCCCCGCAGGCAGCCACGCGGGGCTCTCACTGGGCATGCTGCTCTCCAGCGGCGTCTTCCAGGGGCGCGTCAAGAGGTGGAAGTGCTCGCAGGCGTGCAGCGGGATGCTGACCGGCTCCTCGTTGGACAGGCCCAGCTCGTACGCCCACTGCAACCAAGGCGAGAGGCGTCAGGGCCACGTGGCCGCAGCATGGCCGCCTTCAGCCTCGGGGCCAGCGTGTCCCCCGGCGGCGCTTTCCTCCTTGGGTCGCCCAAATTCGGGCGATGCGGCTGGCCGCCACGGGAAGCAGGCCGCCCGGAACCTGATGGCCGCCCGGGGCCTGCTTCCTCAGGCTCCACCATGCAAACCGGCCCACTGCGGGGCGGAACGGCAGGCACACAAGGCCAAAAGAAAAGGGCCCCGCGCAGGCATAAAGGAAAAGCAGCCCCAGACCACGGAGGGGCCAGCGTGTTCCGCACGGCCACGAGGGGGTCTCGACCGACCGCACACCGAGCGGGTGAGCGCTTTCTCGCGTTTCACCCAGGAACAAAGACTGCACATTCGTGGGCCACCGAAGTTCCTCCCCACAGGCCTCAAACCGGCCCCCTTCAGATGCACGGTACTACAACTCCCAGCATCCCCAGCCATTCGTGATGGGCAGCAATGGAGGGAACTGCAGTCCAGCACGCCTGAAGGGCGGCAGGCAGGGAAGCCTGCTGTGAATGATTCCCGCCTGTCCTACGCCGCCTCCGCCAGGTACAGGCAGAAGCAGCCGGCGCATCTGGCCCATGGCGGCAGCCGGCACTTCCTGTCGTCCGATCGAGACGATCCCAACTGCCTGCACGACGGGGCAGGTTACTAACCCTCTGAGCCCCCGAGAGAGGAGACCAGGTCACGTAAGCCGGGACAACGCATCCATCTGCCCCCGCCCCACCCCCCGTCCCTGCAGCCACACGTCACAACAAACCCTGACCTGACCGGCACAGTTCACAAAATACTGGCACTCGATCGTTCCTCGGTCGGTCTCCACACCAGCCACGCAGCCCTTCTGGCCCAAGACGTGGATGACGCTCGTTCGCTCGTGGATCTGGACACCTGGGCAGGGGAAGACGGGGCAGGGAGTCAGAGGCCCTCCGGCCACCCCTCCGAGGACAAGCCGCAAGACCCCCCGTCTCACAGGCTGCTTCTCTTGGACCGTGCCTGCGCCGGCCAGAGTGACGTCACAGCTGCCCTGCTGGCTAAGCCCCTTCTCTCCAAGCCCTCCTGGCTCCCCACTCAGCCTCCAGGTTGCCACCTCCCTGCACGGCTGCTTCTCCCCAGCAAGAGCCTTTGCTTACACCAGAGTAAGCACAACTTCTAGCAGAGCACCATCTCGGCTCCCTGTCCCCCTTCTGCTCCACAGCTAGTACTCACACCTTGGGATTCACAGCGTTTAGGGACCTGGGAGCTGAGGAGGGAAAGGGACGCGAGTGAGCCCTCAGGGAACAGTATGGGTGTTTTGCTTCGGCCAGGCAGCTCTCTAGCCATTCCTGGCAACCTACCCTAAAATCGCCTGGCTGGGTTCAGACAAAAAGCCACCAAGGGTACCAACAACCCTAAAACAAGCCATGGGTTGTGAAAAATAAGCCACTGTCAAGAGGATTCACACAACGAGTCACAACCGCTGAACACCCAGGAGGGGTTGTCATACCACGTGAATGGCTAAATCTGGCCCCGGTCCTCGGTTCCTCATCTGTAAAATGGGCACAGGAGGTGACACAATGCAAGAGCTCTCAGGTGCTTCGCAAACCGAACGGGAACGCAGCGCAGGACGCGTCCTGCCCTCCTCGCTCTCCTGCATCACGTGGCTGAGCGAGGAAGTGCCGGGGTGGGGCCGTACCGTTCGAGGCGGCGGCGCTGGCCAAGGCGAGGCTCACGTCCGCAGACGACACGACGGCATCCTCCGGCACATGCAAGGCTCCCACCAGGTCGTGGATGTTGATCAAGGGGTGGAGCTGTGCCACCCGCTTCGGGGAGATGATCTCACACGGGACCCCCATGACCCTGCCAGAGAAGATTCGCGGCGGTCACTGCTCATCGGCCGCTCGGGCAAAGAGGCCGCGTGCGCGGGAAAGCTGCCCACACGCACACACTTACTTGAGCTGCGCAGCGATGCGCTTCAGGGAGATGAGCCGGTCCTGCGTCTGCGCTAAGAAGACAGAGCCGGTCCTCACGTACCCTGGAAGGAGAGCCGACAGTGTCGGGGCCCGGCGCAGTCCCGCCAAAGACTAATTCCCAAAGAATTAGGACCACTATGATGCAATGCATCTTCCTGCTCAGGAAAGGTTCTCGGCCAGCCCCTGGGCCTGTCCTGGACTCACCAAGACCTTCCCCTGGAGGAGGCACAAGGTCAGAGTGGACCTGGAAGGTGCAGGTCCCAGCCCCTCCTCAGCCTAGCTCGCCTTACAGAGCTACTGCGAGGAGCATAAGACACCGACCGTGTGCCACTCCCTGAAGGACAGGCACGATGTGAGTGTGTTAATAAATACTGCCAATTCTAAGAGTGCTCAAGGACCGGCAGGACACAATTCTTCTCAAGAATGCCAGCTGTCAACCACTGGACCATTCTGAGATTTCAGTATGCATTGCACACAGGCTGTGCTCAAGCATGTATCTGCAGCCATAAGGACTAGAAACTTGTTCCTCATTTGTAACAGGAAAGCTCCAATTTTCAGGAAGATGCATTCAAAAGGCATCACACTCCGGCACGGCACAACAGGGACCTTTTGAGCGCTTTGAGCGGGGTGTCCTCCAGCCAGGACATCTGTGCTGGCCAGAGGATTTAGGACACTGTCAGGTTAGAAAAATTGCTAGAGAGGGTCCTGGTTGCCAACTGCCTGGAGCTGCAAACTCCCTCCAGGCAGAGATGCACGCAAACCTGTCTGGAAGTATGGGAGCAAGAGCTGATTCCACTAAAAAATGGCGAGCGAGCGAGTTGCTGATTACAGGCTGTTTTAAATTAACTGGAAAGCCAGTGTGGTTAAAACCATGGGAATGAGACTCCGGAGATCCAGGTTCGAGTCCCCGCTCAGCCACAGAGCCAACTGGGTGACTTTGGGCCAGTCACAGACTCTCAGCCCAACCTACCTCACAGGGTTGTTGCTGTGGAGAGAAGATTGAGAGGAGGAGAATTATGTATGCTGCCTGGAAGGAAAAAAGGCGGGATAGAAATGTAATCAATGAATGAATAAGAGGCCACTGTCTCAGCAGGAAGCCAAAGTCAACTGAAGCTTCAGGTAGGATGACCAGATTTACGGCACAGCCAGCTCTGCCCATCCTGGGGGAGCCGACCCAGGCTGCTCCTCTGACTTTGCAGGCCAAGACTCAGGACACACGTCCTCTGAGCCAAAGGATAACGGCAGGGCTGTATCCTCTGGCTGGGAAGGCTCTGAATGACTGTCCTACCCTCCAGGGAGTCACCAGCGCTGGGCGTGCATCACACTCAGCTACTGCACAAGGAACCCTCTGCGCTAGGGCTGGCCGAGGCCCTGCTGCATCCTAGAACCAGAAACGGGGCCTGCCACAAACGCCAGCGCAAAAGCCACCACGGCGACGACCTGCATGCGTGACCCTCGCTCCAGGCGAGACACCTCCCTGTGGGCATGGGACCCTCCCTCTTACCTGTTCGCACCCCTGTCTCTTGCTCGAGTTGCTGGTACAGCTTGTTCGAGTAGTCGGCCATCTTCAGCTCGACGGACAGCTGCCGTGCCGTGCTCACGATGCCTGCGCAAAACCGAGTGGAACCAGCGGCCAGCCTGCAAGAGAAAACCCAGGAAAGCTCCGGAATCTCTGAAGCGGTCTGTCTCGTGGACAATCCCACAGATGCCAGTACAATAATTGCAACGCCTGTGCTTCCGTCTCGATGGACCAGCCCAGACTCGAAGTAGAAGCTTCAACTGCCAGCAGCCAGAAAAGGCTGGAGGGGAACTGGAAACTACCTGAAAACTTGTCCACTGAAGACTATGAGCTACAAGCAGGGGCTTCTATTTAAATTCTGTATGAAACCGCGGAGTTTGCTTTCAGGTGCACCACCTTGGCACCTCAAACAGTCCACCACACCCGCCTGCTTCTTCTTCCCCGGCCGCAGCAAGATCAAAACTTGCAAATGCAGCAAACCTGTACAAATTTGTGTTGTTCATACAGAGGGCGGAGACTGCTGAAAAACTATCTAGACGCCGAGCTCCTGAAGTTCGGGCATCCACTAAGGTATCCCGGGGCAGGGCATCTCTTTAGCGGCGTGTTGACATGAGGCGCACACTTTCCGTGTCCTTCCAGATGTCCAAAGAGAACCAGAGATGAAGGTCCAAGTGTCCTTCCTGCCCTCAAGGCCAAGCAAAGGGGGAACAGCCTTCCTTGCACACGGGACGGTATCAGCGCAACAGCCCTTCCGAAGGAAATGGAATGTGACAGGGGAGCGCGTCCAACGGGGCTTTGCTTACTGCAGGCAACCCCAAGGACACCCCCACAAGGTCATCAGTGAATGCCAAGAGGCTCTCTTCCAGGAGCTTGCCAAACCAGACCTGCTCGTGCTTACAAGTCACTTCTTTCGTCCACTCCAAATCAAGCACATGGTGCTCTGGAGCGAGAAAGGGACGTCGCTGCAGCTGCCGAATGCCCTCCGGAAAAGGCTTGCTAAAATAAATACTGATCAAGCGACCATCAGAGGGATCTGCAGGGGTGCAATCAGCCCATGCAGGAGACAGAGCTGGATTAGATCCTCTCCCGGGCATGGCCTTACTCTTCGCAGCTTGGAGGCAAGATGACATCAAGGGACATCAAGTTAACCTGCAGTCACTTCCAACCTGGGAATCACCAAATCCAGCCCATTCATACCTAGGCCCACTCCTTAGCCACCATCTGACTCCCCTATTATGACTGCAACAGGATGACTGAACTCCGTAGACTCTGCGACCTACAAGCCTGTAAGCAAGGTCGAGGAAATCTGAAGAAACGCGTGCCAGTGCCAGCTACGGCGTTCCATAAACATTCCACGTGTTCACGCAAAAGTGCCAGAATGCCGGCACGGCAGTTCCGAGAGGCCGCTGGCAGCGCAAGTGTGGACACTGTGTGAGCAGGGCTCACTACCTTCCCCAGCCTGCCCCTCACAGGTCTGTTCCTCCTCTGCTGCCCCTTGGGCCTGGAGCCTCCCTCCAGACCACCTCTCACATCCGTCAGCCTGCACCTGCTGAACAGCCCAGCTTTTCCGGAAAAGCTGAAGCAAACACCGGCCCAGGGTCTTTTTTCACCTGTACAATGCTGTGCTTCAGTGGCGAGATGGCCTAGACATTGATGTCTGAATAGAGACCTTTTAAACATTTATATTTTAAACAAGTTTTTAGCCTTGTTCAAATGCTTATACCTAGGATGCCAAAAATGTACACACATTTTAAGAAGAGAAAACACTATGAAAATTCAATATATGCCGATAACAAAAGAGGACTACAAGTCACACCTGACTTCTGTAATTACAAGAGATGCTCAAAGGGGTTACCATCAGCGCCCAGATACTGCTGATTACGGCAAACTTGAGTTTGAGCAACACTGATCAAAGCGTCCACTTGAATCAGGGCACACGCTGCTCTGCAATTTTCTCTGACTGTCCTGTCTGAGGCACAGTAACGCTTGCATTCATTGGACTAGTGCCATCTTTTGAGCAAATGTCACACTACACATTGCTACCATTATTCAATTCAACTTCAAAAAGTAGCACATAGAGAACATCTCTTAAAATGTGTATACATTTTTGGCACCCCTACGAGGTTTCACAGTCCATGTATGACAAGCCATACGCTAAATAAATAAATAAATAAATAAATAAATAAAACTGCAGAACTTTGGTCACAGCCTCCTCTCTAGTTGGAACATTCTTGTCTTGCCCTTCAGTCCTGGGAAGGGCTGCCAAACAATGTGCTGCACTGAGATACAAACAGTTAAGGAAAATGGGCACAAGAGATGGGATGCTAGTGTCGAACAAAAACAAGGAGAAAAAGGAATCCAGTTACACAAAACACGGGAGAAAGGAGTAAATATTAGCTCTCTAGAAAGGCAAGAGCTGAAGCAAAGGGAAGCAATTCCAGTCACAGGGAAGCTAGAAAGCCCGGGAAAAGAAAGCACAAGGAAGAAGCAATGCCCGCAGAAGCAAACATGCCAGAGAAGGGTTCCAGACCAGGCCACTTCCCTGTCTGTGTGTGGGGTGAAGGAGCAGAGATCAGTTCTCAGCTCGGGTGCTGCAGTTAACCAGTCAGCACCTACACAGCTGACCTTGCTTCCAAGCACTCTACAAAAGCCTTCCCAAACCTGGTGCAACGCTGACCACTGAAATCCAGCATGTCTGGAGGACACGAGGCTGGGGAAGGCTGTTCCACAACAGCAGCCGCCGGTCGCGCTTTCCCAGAGAACCGACAGAGCGTTCTCTGCTGCACTGCACACCTGGCTTGGCCCCAGCAAAGGAAAAGAAGCGCTTTACCTGCCCTGCTCCAGCAAGATGATGTCCTTCCACCCTAGTTTGGAGAGGTGATACGCCACCGACGTGCCCATGATTCCACCGCCACAGATCACCACCCGGGCGTGCGCTGGGAGAGGTGTCGGGTGCGGCTCTGCTCCACTCATGCTGCTGTGCCGAGAGGGACGCTTGCTCCACCATCCCAAGCTGCTTCGTTGCCATCGGACATCCGACAACAATCGCAGGAACATCTTGGCGGGTATCTCGGGCACGACAAAAAAATCCTCACAAATCCTGCTTCTAGTGGGGGGGAAAAAACCCACTAGCCTTTTTTTCATTGTACACATTCCATCCTGGCAAAGGACCAGAGACCTTACATTGCTTCCAGCCTTACATATTGAGCAAACATTTGCATCCCAAACTTTTTGCTGTGAGACCAGCATCAGAGGGCCAAACAAATTAAGCAGAAACACAGCAAGTCAGAAGGGGCGTCCCGGGCCTAGTCTGACCCCCAGCTCCAGCTGGCTCTGCTCATGACATGTCTACCATATGCATGTCCAGCACAATCTTTTTCTCACTGGCGCTGGCAAGGAAATCCCTTCCTTATCTCCAAAATCTCAGCAGAGCTTGGGAGAAAAGAAAGGAGCAAGAGAAGCCCCAGAAAGCGCTGCTCCATTTTTTGCTGCAGAGCAGAAACAATGCACAAGTCTGTACCTCACAGGCTACAGTTGTTGCACCCTGATAGGGAGGTAATTTATAATGTCCAACAGGTGCTCTATCCAATCTTGCAAACCCTGACGGAGAACAGCTGCCTGGAGCTCACAAAGCAGAGATGCTTTCTGGTCTTGAGGCAATGGATTGAAGGAAAATAGCAAAGCTGTGTCACCAGAAATTGAATATTGCTAAAAATATGAAAAAAGTGACCGTGCAGCTGCCAATGTCTTCTTCTGTAACCTGCATAATACCATATGCAGATTTAGCCAGTAAACCAAGCAATTATCAGGGAGTCCCAAAACTGTTCAGATTTTGAATTTTCCAATGTCAAAAACTGAGTATCTATTTCTGCTACTGTCAGAGTCCCTGAATTAACTCTACTGTACTAGCGGTTTTCAAAATGGAAAATACTCACTTGAAAGTGAAAAAATAACATAAGATATACAATTATGAAAAATTAAGTTTTCTTTCCATTTCACTGTCCACATGAGCTGAAAATGCTTTTGCTTGTTTGATGGTTAAGTACTTTAATACAACTACCTCTGTTAATAACAATTTTTATCATTTCTACACTGCCCAAAAGCCAAACCTGCATATTGAAATACACAGCAATAATCACACTCTATATGATTTCAAAGGCAAAAAAACACCGTTAGAAAATAAGTTTTTTGAGTTTCTCCAGAAAAATACTTAACTGGTGATAGTCTGCCACCTTCCAGTTTTTCAAGCCAACAAATATCTTTGACTTACAAAGACCTCTCACAGAAAGGCAGTACTTTTTAAAACTGTACTGGTTTGCGAAAGATAGGCGATACAGATGAAAGCTTATTTGAGTATACCCTCACACACAATTAACAGATCAAGGATAATGATAGATCTCTTTTAAGCCAACGTTTAGGAATATTGGCTTCATCCATGTGACAAAGCTCAGCTTTGCAAACAGTGTTTAATTTATTCGTTTTGCCAGACAAATGGCAAAAAATGATAATCAGATTCTAACATTTTGTCAGAAGCCCTGCGAGTTTTATCCAAAAGCCTCAAACAGATGATGGATAGCACTTGTTCTTTTGCACTGACATGATACCCTTTAAAAAAAAGGGAAGGAAAGAAGCTGTGCTACTACATATATTCCATACTAGAAAGGAAAACAAGGGCAAAACTGCAGTCCCACCAAAATGAGGAATATGAACATGGACAGAAGATTGAAGTCTGTTTGAGGAGGTGAACTTTGCAGGTGCAGCACTTTCAGCATTCACTGTGGCCCAGGGCCTCTGGCACAAAACAGTTCCTTTTGCCACACAAGATACTACAACACCCACCCCCCCCACAACCTGGTGCACTTCAGGTGTGTTGGCCCAGAGCTGGGCTGGCTGGGACTGATAGGATTCATTGTCTAACACATCCATAGGATATCAAGTTGGGGAAGACAGCATTATACTACGTGCAATACAAAACACCTAACCAAAACCAAATATTCTCCTTTGGAACAATCCTACCTTTTGTTCTGTCACATGGGTGCCTATCACTCTGTCCAATGCAGAAAGGGCCACATCTGGAACACCAAAGTACGAAGCTCAGCACCTGGAAAAGATGCAGAGCAGAGTGACCAAAACACAAGAAAAGAAGACCTTCCAAACAAACATCATGACTAATATAAAGCCAGGCATTTCTTCTCTCCCTCCTATTCTGCCCCCCCGCCCATCCTCACTTTTTAGCGTCATCTCCAATGAGGACGAGATCAGGGAATTCAACAAGCTTGCCCTTTCTCGGTAAATTTGGTGGACAGAGGACAGAGAAATTCTATTCTCGTGCCTTAAATGCTGTCTGTCCTTAAACAGGCCTTCCCCAACTCAATGCCTTCCAAAGGCACTCGAATACAACTTTCATCATTCCCAGCCAACACTGCCATGGCTGTCTGGGAAGGTTGGGGCTTGTAACTAAAGGGGGCCAGCTTGGAGAAGGCAGAAATAACACTTCAGGCTTGTGACAAACAGGTCCTGTCCACAAAAGTTTACCTGAGGATAAATGGGTTACCTTGGTTATCACAGATGTGTAAATCACCCAAAAGTTTCAGCTATTGGATGGTATAGAAATATCAATAACGGATCTGGATTCCAGTCCCCGCTCAGCCATGGAGCCCACTGGGTGACTTTGGACCAGTCACAGACTCTCAGTCCAGCCTACCTCACAGGGTTTTTGTGGGGATAAGACTGAGAGGAAGAGGAGAATTATGCAAGCTGCTCTGAGTTACTTGGAAGGGAAAAAGTGGTATGCAAATATAATATTGTTATTATTTCAACGTTTGTGTTATTATTTTTACCCTAAACCCCAGTGTTCTTCCTCTTGCAAGGACCCCACGGCGGCTTACACGGTTTCCCTGCAACGGCAGCCCTGGGAGGCAGCTCAGGCTGAAAGACGGGCCACTCTACCACACCGGCCCACACTAGCAGCCGTGCCCAGCCTGGCGCCGGCCAGATGTTTTTGCCCACCGCTCCCAGCGCTCCTGCCCACGGGCCACGCCGGCTGGGGCTGATGGGACTCAGAGTTCCCAAGCAGCAGAGGGCTGCCTGAAGCCCCCACCACCCGCTTCGGGCCGCCATAATTCGGAAACCCGCCCGGGCAGCCTCGCCCGACGCAGCGCCCTCCGGAGGCGCTGGCCTTCGACTCCCATCGTCCCCAGCCGGAACGGCCGACGCCCGGTACCCCCGACGGGGCCCCGATTCCCGGGCACGGCTCGGCCCCGCCCCGCGGCGCTCATTTGCATGCCGGGCCCGCCCAGGGCCGGTGGCCGGGCCAGACGCCGCCTCACCTGCGCCGCCCGCCCGCGCGCGCGCGCGACCTTCCCCCTCCGCGTCCTCGCCCGCCCGCGCTTTACGACCGAGGCGCGCGACAGCGTCGCGGCCGGCGGCGTCTCTCCCCCGCGCGGCCGCGGCCAATCGGCGCTCCGCCGCCGCGCAAGCGCGCTTGGAGCGGTGCTGGGTCGCGCAGGCGCAGTGCGGCCGCCTGGCCCAGGCCGGCGCCCTTCGCTTCCGCGGGGCTCGCGGGCCCTATATCGGTAAATAAACCACCTTTTCGCCTGAGGGTGGAGGCGGGCTGAGGCAAAACAACCCACAGCTGCTGGCGAGGGAGGCCGGATCGGGCTCCGCCGCTGACCGCACACGCGCTCGTCCCTTCCACGCGGCCTACCTCGCAGTGTTGTTGTGAAGAGAAGACTCGCGGGAGGAGATGTCGCGCAGCCCCTGTGCCGAAAGCAGGCCGAAAACGTCACTGCTGGGATCGCAAGGCGAGCGTGCTCTCCACGGATTGGACCGCCGCTCCCACCATCCCCAGCCAGCATGCCAAGCAGCTGGGCATGATTGGCTCGGTAGTCCAACATTTGGAGGGCACCAGGCGAGGACGGCATGGAGACGCAGGATCTCTGCATGTAAATCTGGAAAGTGCAGGAGAGAAGGCGAGAAGGAAGCTGGGCCGTGCACTGACTTCATTAAGGTGCCTGGCACCGCCTGCTTAAGGAAGCGAAGGGGCCAGAGGTGTCTTTGCTCGGATGCAGCTCCATCAATCTCCAAGCTTAGTGCAGGAAGATTACAGGAGCCTTCTGCTTACAGGAACCATGAGATCCCCCCGCCCCACTGCAACCAGGTCCCCTGCGGAGTGCAAATCCAGGGGACGGAGGGCCAACCTGGGCAGCCCAGTGCTCCCTATGTTCACTCGGACCAACTCAGCACAATCATTTACTCACTTGTGTACACCTTGAAGACCAAAACGTACCACAGCATTAGAGCAGAATCCATTGTGATTGACTTACCCCATGCTCTGCACCAGGAGGGCAGAAGGGAAGCAGGGTGCAACCCTACCCAAGATTCCCTAGACCAGTGATGGTGAACCTTTTAGAGACCGAGTGCCCAAACTGCAACCCAAACCCCACTTATTTATCATAAAGTGCCAACACTGCAATAAAACCTGAATACTGGCGTTTTAGTTTAGAAAAAACAACTCACAGCCAGTCCAAGCAATATATATCTCTGAAGTGCACTGACTGGCCATGCGAAAGCTCGGACCAGTCACGGCTAATGAGTCGCGCCTTGTGACGTCGTTACCTGGCACCGCTACTCCTTTCCGAGCATGCGCATGGCCCCTATGTGCACTGTTATCCGATGCTGGGGTGATGCTGGGGCGACTTGGCTCGCGTGCCGACAGAAGGCTCTGTGTGCCTGCTGCGGCACGTGTGCCATAGGTTCGCCACCACTGCCCTAGACAGTGATGCCTCTGTTCTCTGTACTTGGTCCCCTAGCATTTGTGCAGCTCTCCCCACACTCCAAAAGGTGGAAATGTCTTCCAGAAGGCTGAGTGACTGGCATAAGAGCTTTACTGTAAAACTGGCTAGAATGTTGGGCATTCTGCCCCCCTTTTGCTCCACCTCCCGTTGGAATAGAAGCCCCCAAGGGCTGAAAGTAGTTCTGCAGCCCGGGGAATGGATACAGGCAGAAGGTCTGAGATATGTCCTAGATTGCGCCCTTAGTTCATGCTGGGATTTACCATCATTCCACATGAACTGAAAGTGCACCTTGAAACACCCAACACTTTCCCGGCATGAAAACAGCAGAAGCTGCAGGCATGCTTTCTTCCGGGGAAGCTCCTGCGTTGTCCAAATCCAGCCTTCCCAAGGAATTGGAGCACTGTTGCCACAAGCTGCCTCTCCACTTCCTTATCCCAGCGTTCCTGGTGCCCATCACTGGAAAGAAGGCTCACTGGCAAGGGCACGATCGAAGGGGGAAGCTTGGGTTGGGGAGTCAGAACACCCAGGGGGTTGCAAGGAAGGCTCTGGGGCGCCTTTCAGCATCCCTGGACTGGGTGGGCCAGCAGTTGGCGCCCATGGGGCTCTGGCGAGTAAGAACACTATCCAGTGGCAAAAGGGGCTGAATGGTACGGTTAGGATGACTTAACTGCATCAAAGCAGCTCACCCTCAGCAGTTCAACCAGCTGCTGCTCCTGGCCTAAAAGCTAGTTGCCTGCCTCGCCTGCCAACCCCACTTCAGTCAGACTCTGTAGTCCAAGACATCACCTTAAGGAAAGCGCCATCCTGACCAGAGGTGTTCTAGAGAATGGAGCGTGTGAGAATCGTGAGAGCTGGCCAGCTCAAATGTCTGTGCCAAATTCAACATGTCTCAGAATGGCTAGTATGGAAAGGTAGCCATGGGAAACTCCCTGTATTCACAGCTGGCAGAGACACTAGTGAAACAAGTAGAAACCTGCAGACTCTTTTTTATTAAATTCTCCCATTTCATCTGTACAGAAAAAAATGCACATTATGTTCAGTATTTCAGTTAACAATTCAAAATTACACAGCATGAACATGTAAAAACAAAGGATGGCTGAGATTTTGTACATAGGAAAAAAAACAATTTACAAAAAAAACCCCAACTTGTTAATGTTACATTTTTAAAAGGACTAGTCAGCCAACATCTGCCATACAATCTACCACTTAATCTCTCTCTGTTGGGCTGGATTTCAAAGCTGCAGGAAGGGCCTCCCGTCCGCCATCCTGAGTTACTTCGCGCATGCAACTTGCTTCCTTCAAACCTAAACCACACTAGCGCAAGTTGGTCAGTCTGTGATCAAAAAACCATCATTACGAGCTCCAAAACGCAGCTGAAGGGAAAAGCTGCAGCCCATCTCATCTCATGCATCTCCAGGAAACTCTGGCTAGCCAATCTGAACCAACGAGGGCACACCAATGGCGTTGGGTGCATCGCATGCCAAAGCAGCATGCCGGCCCGCGCAAGCCGCAGAGAAATTGCCAGCCCATCGCAAAGGCCTAGCATTGAGTACCACCTTCCCAGCTAGCTGGCACCTTTTCCTGCAGACCACTCCTTCTGCCTCCCTTACAGACAACACTCCAGAAACAGCCTTGCAACCCCGGTCTTACAAAGACCCGGGCGAGCAGGACAGCTGAGCCGTTTTCTGCAGCCGGGGGACTTGGCTCATAATGGGACACAAGGTACATGCTACACCAAAGAGTCTCAGCTAAGGGGTGTCACTACTGCTCTGCCTCCACCAAGGATCCTCTGCAGAGCCCCATTGCAGGAACCATGTCATAGGCACGGTGTTTCTCCTGCCCCTCACAGGAAAGCACCCAGTCCAGCTATCCACAACTCCAGAGCATCCCATCTCCCAGATCATCCGTGTTCCTTTCCTCCAAAGGGAAAAGCTTCAGCACCGAGGGTAGAAGCTGGAACAGCTTGTGGTACCCCAACCATCAAGGCCAAAGTGGTGCAGAAAGCAAGTGTCAGCAACTGGACGTGGTTCTTTAAAAAAGAGGCGAAGCAACTGAAAACATACTCCTGCCACCCAATCCATAAATATGTTTCAGGATCCAACACCTGGCTAGAAAAAGCAGACAGCCATTTCCACCTTCTTCAAGAAGCAGACCTTATTCTGTCTTGTGCACCCCAGGAGGAAAAGTGTGATGCCGGCGATGCAACGCATGTTTGCAGAGGAAACTGTTTGAAGAAACAGCAGTCCGGAAGCTAAGTGAGCAAGGAGGAACGCTTTTGGATAGATGAGCGCTTCCCTGTGCGCGTGGATAGCCTCTGAGGAACGAGCCCGGTCTGAACCCGAGGCGGCGGCATGGAAACTGCTTCTGGGTCTTGGGACAGAGAACTGGCTGCTTCTGAGAGAAGAGCAAACTGGTACTACTGTGGTGCTCTCACCAGGATCAGGGAAGGCAAGTGAGGCTCTCTGGAGAAGAGCAAGGGAAGAATAGTTCCTCGTGCGTAGTATGACAGGGCACGTGCAACCCAGGATGACCGGGGCCTTCTCTCTTTCGCAGCAGCACTTTCACGAGTTCACAGAGCTCAACCAACCACCCATGCCGGCAGCAGCTCCTTCCCAGTGTCTTGCAGGGCCGGAGCAAGATGCACCGCAAGCTGCTCCCGGTAACTCCACCCACCCGCAATTCACATTTCACAGCCAGCCTCGCAATTCGCATTTCACAGCAGCTAGACTGCTCAGGAACAACCATGTTGCTCCCCTCCCCACACTGCTGTCTCCAGTGCCGGATGGTGGCAGATACGATCAGGTAAGCACTGTGGACCCCAGCAGTTCCTAACAAGAAATTCTCCCATCTCTTGCTTTGGTTTGCTCAAAAGAATGTAAGTGGCCTTTGAGGGAGGAAGTGAGACGCTGCTTGCCACCACCCAAACATTCCTTCCGTACACACCATCAGGAGGGGGAGTGACTTATTGCAACACTCCCCTGGTTGCATCTGTTTCACTCGGGAGGCCTGAGAATTGCTGGCAATCCAGGAAAGAAAAATAAGACAAGACCTGCGGGGTGGGGGGCAGGACTGGCACATCTTTCCATCCCCAGGTGCAGAAAACTAGTCAGAAACTGCATTGCTTACTTTCCAGTGGGATGAAAAGCAAAGGTTTCCTATCCCAAAAACTACTGTACCTTTTAACCGATGCTTGCAGAGCAGCAGAAAGCACTCACAGTACTGGTACATATGACAGCCTGTCAGCTGGTCCCTTTGCAGAAAGGCCCCTGAATTGTGTGAAACAGATGCAGGATGCAGAGAGATTAACACGTACCTATGAATTCATACGCAACATGGCTGCAATAGCGAAGCCGGGAAACGTGGGGGGGGGGGGCACACAAGCTGTGCAGCAGCGCGATCCACGAGGCACGCACTCCTCCCTCCAGCGCACGGAGGGACCATCCTTGACCGACTGGCTGATGCCCGACCAGTGGGGCCGTGGCAGCGCAGCCGTGCCTCCACTTTGCGACCTTCCCGCTCAGACTCGGAGCGGCGCCACAGGGGCGCTGGTCCCACAAAGAGGCCCCCTCGTTCCGACTGGGAGAAAACACCGTCCATTCCTGCACTCTGGAGCTCTGCCCCCCGACGAGCGCTCTTCCTTGCCTAGTGCTAGAATCTTGCCTATCTCCCTAACCCTCAAAGAGGCGGATGACTCCTCAAATGTGACACTGCAGTGGGGAAGCCGGACTTGCTTCCGCAACAAGTAAGGCTCCTGGCCCCGCAGAGGAAACCTTCAGGAACTTCTCCCTAGCCAGCCTAGGAATGCCAAGTATTCCCAGCTGTGCACATCCTTCTCTGGAGCTCAAAAATCCTGTATCCTTTCGAGGAACTCTACTTCCACTATCACTTAACCAAAGGCATCTCTTGGGGCATGAAATGGGTTCAAAAGGGGCGCCTATAAGAGCTGTGGCGTGTCTTTCTTCCATTCAATATTTTATTAATCCCAGAGATGAGGGGAAATATGAAAGGCATCGCCTTTCAGCAAAAATAGAGAAACAAGCCATCAAATTAATTAAAACACACACACAACAGAACACAGTAACAAAAGCAGGAGATCAATAAAGGTGATGGACCTCTGAAGACAGCGTCTGTTGGCTGAGTATGACTTCGAGATGCTTGTTCAAGGGTGAACCAGATGTCCAAAGCAAGGCCAGCAGTGAGTGGTGGCTGAAGCCCCTTCCCCCAGTCCTCTTGCCTCGCCACGGAGCGCACACGTTTCCCCACCAGGAGCCACTGCCCAACGTGATGATGTCTGGAACAGATCTTTAAAAACGTATCTTAAAAACCTCTTGAGCTGCAGGTCGTCAGTCTGATTTGGAGAGCAAGGGCAGTTCCCACAGTTGAGAGAGAGGGGGGGTAGGGAGGGAGGAGAGAGGGAGAGAGAGGGAGAGGGAGAGGGAGAGGGAGAGAGAGAGAGAGAGAGAGAGAGAGAGAGAGAGAGAGAGAAACTTGTCTACAGGCAGGCAAACAACAGTCGCTAACGATGGGGTAACGAAGCTGCTGGCTGGACCACCAAGGCTGCACGTGCCAACTCGTTCCAAGAATGGAAAGGCCATGGACAAGATGGGAAACACAGCTGACCCGTGCTGCTGATCGGATTTGCTTGTACTCTCCGCAGGAGGAAGTGGGTGGGGAGACTATACAGAGGAGGGCTGTACAAACTGGGCAGCGGGCAGGCCTTCCTTCTTCCTCGCGTGACGACCAAGGCCTGCTCTACCTGTCCTTCAGCTCTCGTGTCACTCGCTTCGTGATGCGCCCACACATCAGGCCAATCAGGAACAGGAGACAGATGCCCACGGTGATCACGGAGAGGATGTAGTTCTTGGAGGGCGAAGTCATCACCTGCATGGCAAGGTCCGAAAAGCCTTCGGCGGGGGCAACCTGGCAGGCACAGAGGGAGAGAGGGCGGTCAGTCTCCACGCCGAGCAAAAGGGGAACCGGCCCCGTCACTTTTCAAACAAACCTTCAAGGTACAAAGCAGGGATTGCTGTGTGGCCCCCTGGCTGTTCTGTGCGCCCAACTTGCGGCAGCCCTCTGCACGGAAGCCTTCCGAGGTGTCCCATCCGTGGCAGCCCTGTCAGCTCTTGCACAGTGGTACCTCGGCTCACGAACGCCTCAGTTCACTACCAAATCGGGTCGTGAACAGAAATTTCTGAAACATTTTGCCTCAGGTCGCGAACTCTACATGGGGCGACAATCTGTGCGGGGGAGATGGCCGCGATCTTTGTTGTTCTTTGTCACTTTGCTTCAATTTTTTGTGATTTAAAAAAAAAAAGTTACAGAACGGATTAACCTCATTTACACTGAACCTTATGGGGAAATTTGACTTGGCTCATGACCAATTTGGATCACGACCAGAGTCCTGGAATGGATTAAGTTCATGAGCCAAGGTACCACTGTACATTCAAGGCTGTGACACCCTTGATGAAGTCGGTATACAACCATAAAGCATACAAATAAACCATGTAGCTAGAATGATGGAAGTCCAAACTGGACTGCAGCTTTATACGGAATCTGCCTTAACATGATCTCATAAATGCAGACAGTGAAGGCTATCAGTATTTTGTGCTAAAATGTTAGGTTGTCTTCGATAATATCTATGTTAAAAGGCTCTTCTCATTACAGGAACCACTTCTGTTTAAAACCCATAAAGCAAACGGGTTTACTCATATGTTTATTCTTCAAACATCCATAGCCACACGCAGAGAATGCTTTTTGATTACATGGGTTTAAAGAAAAGCTGCATTGTCTGTACACATCTATTCACAGAGAGAAAGAGAGAGAGGTAATCAGGAATCATGCTCAATTGTAGCCAAGCTGCCTACATCCAAGCTGGGCAAAAAGTACTGCAGTAGAAGTGCTTTATGCATCAAGTCTTTAACTCACTGTAGGCCAAAGCACATCATCTCCCACACGTCCTCCATGGGACCACCCAGGCTCTCCCCATGACTGAAGCCGGGGCTCCACTCACCTTGGCAGCATAGCTCCACATTTCAATCCGGTCATTGAGGCGCTTCTTACACTCTGGTTGCAACCGTACACGCTTGTCTTCCAGGGCCTCCATCAAGCAGGACATTTCTGCAGAAGAGATGAGATGGTGTTACAGAACACCGCCTCCTTTTAGGGGACCATGGAAAAGAGCTCTGCAGCTTTCTTATGTCTCTGGAAGCACCGTGTGCCTGGAGAACAACTCTGGCTCCGGAGCTGGCCTACATCATTTCCTTCCCATTGGCATCATTGAAGGGGAAACGGTTTATTTATATATTTATTAACATTTATACACTGCTTAAAAAAAGTTTGCATAGTCAAGGCTCTGGTTTTCCCAGTTGCAAAGTATGGCTGCAAAAGGTGGCCATAAGGAAGGCTGAGCACCGAAGAATTGAGGCCTTTGAATTGTGGTGCTGGAGGAGACTCCTGCGAGTCCCTTGGACCGCAAGGCGATCAAACTGGTCTGTCCTAGAGGAGATCAACCCTGACTGCTCTTTGGAAGGCCAGTTCCTAAAGATGAAACTCAAATACTTTGGCCACCTAATGAGAGGGAAGGACTCCCTGGAGAAGAGCCTAATGCTGGGAACAATAGATGGCAAAAGAAGGAGGGGACGGCAGAGGATGCGGTGGCTGGATGGAGCCGCAGCAGCAGTGGGTTTGAGCTTGAGTGAACTCCGGGGATGGTGGAGGACAGGAAGGCCTGGAGGAGTGTTGTCCATGGGGTTGCGATGGGTCAGACGCAACTTTGCAACTAGCAGCAGCAACGACGACAACAACCCCTCAAGGCGATGGGCAACCATCTTATATATACACCCTTGTCACTTCTACATTTTCTTTTCCAGCTGTTACCACTTTCTAGCTCTTGAAGCACAGTCTGTCCTTTGCTTCCAGTTTCCTGTCTTAAAAGTAGCCAGCCAACTCTAGACTTGATTATCAGCAAGCTGTTTGCTTTTAATCAAATATGTCTTAAGCGTGCGAACTGATGCTGGCAGAAGCAGCTTTTAAGCAAGCAGAAACAGCAGCTGAAAGCAGGAGAAGGGCACCCCCCTCCCCTTCTGCTTTGCCACCAGAAGCTGCAATTCACAGGGCTGCGCTGCCTGGCTACAACCCTGTGCTCACTTGCCTCACTTGTATACAGGATTCCACTGTTACCCTATCAAAAAGAGAGTTCTATTATTGGGTGGAATCTAAATTTGTAAGCAAAAAAGCATCCATGTATGTGTTTTTCAAAACACCAACAGGGAAAGTATTTGATGAATGATCGCTTACTCTTACTAGAATTTGAAGTTGGCAGTTAGCCCATCTATCAAAGGATGGCAACAATTAGCAATGTGCGTTGATCTTATCTGGTGTGTGTGTTCTAAAACCACCATGCAAAAGCCTTTTGGAAGTGCAGTACACGTATTTTATAGCAAGACCACAACACAGTTGCTTGTTTCAGAAAGGTGCTGCAACTTGCAAAGGGAAGGCATTTGGAGCACTGTTTCATGGTTTGTAACAAACCCATTTCCTGTTCCTTCTAAATATGTGCAAAGGTGGTTTCTATCAAACTGCAGTTATCCAATCAAAAACAACCATATTCAGACAAAATAAGAAATGGGGCTTGATTTGGGGTGGGGGGTTGCAATGCACAAGGCGAGGGTGGGAATGACTGCGCCTGAGCAGTGCTGCTGCCTGTTCTCCTAACAAACTTTATTTGGGCATGAATGTAGCGAATACCGAAGCTGATTCAGCTGTGTGCAGATAAAGGAAGGCTACCGAGCAAATGCACAAGACAAAAGCGTTTGTGGGAAGTGGATCTTCCATCTCATATTTCTATATTCAAGAGCTATGAGTCACATTTAGGGGAGGCATTGGATGGAAAGGGTTTTAAAAGCATTTCACTCGTCAATGTACTCAACAATGCAAAGGGAAAATATTTGCAGAAATTTCTTAGTTTTTTCCTAAAAAATCATTTTCCCACTGAAAAATCTGAAAGGCTGCCTTCAAACCAAACAAAACGCAAAAACTTTTCTCCCCCTACCACCTTTTTCCAGGCCATCACATCTGTCCCAAGCAAGTACTTTGGAATGCAAATCTACCAAAGCTTCTAAAAGGCTGAAACAAAGAACAAGAGGCAACCGTCTTTGGTTTCCACGGGTCAGGAAGCCACGGAGGCACACTTACGTCGCCCACGCCCAGGTGGGATGGCCGCGCAGTGGTGCTTAATATCCAGCGCACAGGCTGTGTGGAGGACCGGGTCCACGAAGATGTCCGCTTTACTCTCTTTGAGCATGTTCAGCACCTCCTGGAGGGCAGATGACCACAATGCGCGGTGTCAATGTGGGTTCCCCTCATTCGGCGGCTGTGGGCATGTGTCACCCTCAGGCTCAAAAGGTTAAGTCTGCGCAAGAGCATCAGCTGACGCTGCACCTCCGCCCGAGGCGGGGCTGCAGTCCCAGGTCAGGGGCAGCAGAAAGCCAAGGAGGCAGCCTTGGAACGCTCAGTGCCCTGCGGCCTGCAGGGTCCTGACACTCATGCCGGCTCCGAGCGGATCGCATTGGCATATTCTAGCCTCAGAGTGATGGGGATTGTCGCTGGCTCTTAACGCAAAAGCAGTGCGATGCCGTGTCACCCCTCGGCCAAGCGGCAAGAGGGGAATGCTCAAGGGGCAGGACTCTTCTCCCTCGGCCGACTGCAGCAGGGCTGAGAGGCAGGGGCAAATCAGAACCGCCACCAGGAGTCCCCGAAAGACCCCCAACACCCACCGACCAAGCTGCTTGTCGGAAGACTTGCCAGCTCCTCCCCACTCCCACCAGCACTCAGGTGAGCATCGCCTCTTTACCTTTTTGCACACGTCTGCTTTGATTTTCAGCAGGTTGACTTTGAGGCACTCTTCGACTTGCCCTGTCTGCTCCTGGGCTGCCACCTCCTCTGCACACAAGCTAGAAATCTGTGAAAACAAAGTGTGTGAGGATGTGAGACCAGCTTGGTAGCACAGGCCGGCACAGACACACTTCACGTGGGAAAGGCTCCAAAGCATGGTAGAAAGCAGGAAAAACGGCACCCTGCTTTCAGGGGGTGGGGCAGAATAACTGCCAAATGCATGATTTCCCTTTGCAACTGAGACCTATGGTGCCATCAACACACAGGGCCAGGGACAAATCCTGAGCATTCTCTGCTGCGGATGCTGCCTAAAATCCAGGCCTCACACTGGGCTCATCCTGTAAAGGCCCCAAGGCTTTGTGCGAGGTGGTCAGCGGCAGCCACAAAAGGCATATCCCGCAGCCCAAATCCGGTTGTCCGAACCCACAGCAGCCTCGGGAAGGAGCTGGGGCACGGCACCTGCCAAGCACGGACTGCCCTTGCAGAGCAAGCGGCTCGCCTCTGAGGTGCTGGCACCGCACCATAAAAGCTGTCAAAGGCGGGTTGCTCCTGCCTTTAAGTCTCTTCGCTCTTCTACAGAAAGAAGGAAATGCTCTTCAGTATCCAAAAGATGGGACAGGATGCTCCTCACTCACTGCAGGAGAGGGCACAAAGGGAAAGAATGGAACTGTTGCTCCCTAATTCATTTATTTTCATTTTATTTATTTACTACTTTTTGCATACCGTTCACTGCTATCAAAGCTCTCGGAACAGTTCACAGTAAAACAGACAATTTAATGCATGATCCCATATTTAGGCAGGAAGAAAGTCCTGTGGCTCCCAACATCCTTTCCAGCCAGCAGGGCATGTTGGGTTTTTCTTGGGAGTTTTTTTGCCTTCTGCACATGCACAAGAGTGCATCGTAAAATGCTATGGGGGAAAGGTGGAAGTAGAACTGGAAATTAATGCTTTGGCAGCAAGGATCTGGAGCCATCTAGGAAAGTTTGTTTGTTTATTTATATTGTGATTTATATCCTGCCCTTTTCCTACAAAGGGCTCAAGGCAGCTTACATCTCCTCCTCCATCTTATCCCCACAACAACAGCCCTGTGAGGCAGGTTGGGCTGAGAGGCTGTGACTGGCCCAAAGTCACCCAGTTGGCTCCATGGCTGAGCGGGGACTCGGACCCAGGTCCTCTGAGTCCCAGTCCTGTGCTCTTCACCCTGGCTCCCCTCCTTTGCCTGTTTTTAGGATGTGGAATACTGCAACAACAATGAAACTGACTAATTGTATAAGGACCAGGGAAGAACAACTATCAGAAGCAGATTTAACTGAAAGATGGATAGCATGTCATTTTGGGGAATTTTGTAGTCCACTAAGTTCACTATTTTCTTTGGTCAGGATCTTTGTTGAAGGCTTGTGTATAGAATGTGTAATGCCTTCAATGAGTAAATAAACATTAAACAAACACACTAAACCAGATTAAAAACCCAGCATATATTTTTAAAAATAAGATGCCAAGTGGTGGTTCTGCAATGCACTGCTCTATTTCAAAGGCTGCCTTCCGCAAACGGGAGCAATGGGCCCAAAAGCCGAACGCCCTGAAGGTACTTCATACCTCTGGCAGATTCCACTCAAGCCTGCCATTGTTTGGCCTCTGCCACCTGGAGCTGCAAGACATTGCTAACGTGTGTAACATGAAACAGGAGTAAACCTGAATGCTCCCACCTCCTCTGAGCAGTGCATCTGTAACTGCGGATCTAACCGGTAATCCAGAGCAGACTCTTCAATTATCACTTGGATCTGATCTTCGCAATCCGGGGAGAGACGCTGTTTGTGCGACAAGAACAACAATCAGGCCAGGTCTGTCCACTGGAGAGGAAGTGCCCATGCAGTCCACGGAGCTAAACAGAGAATGCAGCGGGAGGCAAAGCGGGGTCCTCCAGCTGTTACAGACTCCAGTTCCCATCAATCCCAGCCAACATGGGCCAATATTTAGGAGTTTTGACAGCCGCCGCCCTGCTGGACAACACCAAGTGAAGGCCCCTGCACCTTTTTCCCGAACCGTCAGATACACGTTCTGCCCGCGCCCCTCCGTTTTCACAGACTGGTGTCTGCAGCAAAGGACAGCAGTGTGGAGCTTCCTTTGCCCTCCGTACTCTGGTGGCCCGGCAGCCCGCTGCTGTCGCTACCGATCCACTGCACCCGCTGGAGCTAGACGTTGCCACTGTGAAGAGCCGATACCTGGGGCCGTATCCCGAGCTGCTGACCCTTCCGATAAGCTCCCAGGCACTCTCTTACAGTGCGCTCCATGGCAGATGTACATGCCATGAAAAGCAGGTGCATCTTCTCAAATATCTATGGACCCCGATCAGAAGGCACAGCCAGCATTAGTTCCCCAGTGCATTAAAAAAGGAAAAGACAATGAACTTGGCACATAAAGGCCAGGCTGAAGGCTGGCCCAAGGGCCATGCTTTACCTTTACTTTTGGAAACAGAGAGAGCACGAAAATCCATGGAGGGAGAAGAGGAAAAGAGCATTTACTTTCCTTGGATGTGCCAGAGATGTGCAGGCACCCTCAGGAGCCTATGCTGAGGGTGCTGCAGACCAAGAGGAGGTAGCTGCTGCAGGAAAGGGCAGGGAGTGTGGCAACCACATGTGCAGAAACCAGTTCAGGCAAACATCTTTGCACTGTGGGAACAGTGTGGGTCCCCCTCCCTCGTGTTTGGGCAGCCACTGTCTAAAATCAGCACAGTGTATTTTTTTAGTTCTGGCAAATACAAGTCAAACATGCTAATTCAGGTCTCTTTCAGTTTAGAGACCTGACCTGAACGTTCTTCCAGCAAATCAGAATTACCAGCTCTAAGCTTCTGATACAGAAAATGCTCCGGCTTTTTCATGTTTAAATCCACCTACTTTTCCCCGACCTGCAAGGAAGTGAGCGCACAAGCTGCAGGGCAGATGGTCCCTTCCAGACCTCCCTGCCTGGTACACATGCCCTGTAGTCACCTGGTCTGCGTATTTCAGTTTCAGGCAGGATATGACCTGCCCTTCCAGCTCCGAGTCGTCCTTGGCTTTGCTCAGAATGCTCTGACAGAATTTAGGGATGTCTGCTCTGCAGGCCTTCCTGAGCACCGGATTCAACCGATAATCTACCAAAGAGGCAATGAAGAAAGTCAGTATTTGCAACTAGCCATGGGAGGAAGGTTCCCACTGCAGAACAGTGTTTCTTTACCGGGCAGCCTGCAGCTGCCATTCTTTGTGGCTGGGTTGCCTACGATTTAGCTGCGTTACAAAAATGGCTCACTCTCTGGAAACCAGCCATAGGGAAGATTAAAAAGGTAAAGGTTTCCCCTTGACATTAAGTCCAGTCATGCCTGACTCTAGGGGCGGTGCTCATCTCCGTTTCCTGGCCGAGGGAGCCAGCGTTTGTCCGCAGACGGTCTCCGTGGTCGAGTGGCCGGCATGACTAAACCCCGAAGTGGACGGAAAGCCGTTACCTTCCCACCAAAGTGGTACCTTTTTATCTACTTGCATTGGATGCTATTGCTATGTATGTGCAAAAAAGGGGAAGACTGTGATAGCAGGTGTGGAATTCAACATCTCTGCTTTCTTTCTTTTCACAGCAGTATGTTTCCAGACCTTATGACTGTAATAATACCTTAGCACATGCAAGGGGAGCTACTAAAAATTCAAAAGCCCGTCGTTAAATTGAGATCCTCAACCCCAGGGGAGGCCAGCATCGATATGTCTCTCATGGATAGTAAAATGAGAATTCAAATTCCTTTCCAAATCTCATTCCATGATTCCAACACAGAGCAGGAACCAGACAGAATGAATGCCAAGATGTCTTTCAAAATTCTGCTGTTTCAGTAATGTAAAAATATGGAACCATTCAGTTTGGCGCAAAATTGCACTCTCCTGCTCACAACTTCTCCTGGGATAGATTACTGGAAGGCAAGGGAGTTGAGGAGGGGTGGATGGCACTCAAAAGGGAGGTTTTGGATTCTAAGGATATCTCAGGGGAGAGACACAATAATTATGGGAGATTTCAGTCTCCCGGGTATTAGTTGGGAGACTCACTCAGCGGTGACAGCAAAGTCACATCGCTTCCTAGAAGCTAGAGAGGGAGGGTTTTTCACACAGAGGGTCTGAGAGGCAACGAGGGGGGGAAACATCCTTGACTTGGTCTTGACCAATAGGGAGGAGCTGATAGATGAAGTACAGATTAGGGGAGCTCTGGATGCGAGCGATCACTCCATCCTTTGCTTTGAGATCAGGGGACTGGGGACGTGCAGCAGGTCGAGCACTAGAAGCTGGGACTTCAAGAGGGCCAACTTTGGGCAACGGAAGGCCAGACTGGGGAAAGTCTCCTGGGATGGGTTACGGGAAGGCAAGGGAGTTAAGAGGTGGATGGCACTCAAAAGGGAGGTTTTGGAGGCGCAAGCCTTGACGATACCTCTAGTCAGTAAGGTGGGGAGGTGGAGGAGAGCACCGCCATGGATGCGAAAGGAGGTGGTTAGAGAGGTTAGAGGCAAGAGGAACCTCCATGGGAAATGGGTACTGGGGCAAATAGACAAAAGGGTATACCGGGGGGAGGAGGCCCATTGCAGAAGGATTCTTCGCAAGGCTAAGGCTGATTACAAGCTGAGACTTGCCAAGAATATCAAGAGCAACAAAAAGGGCTTCTTTCAGCATGTGAATAGGAAGAGGAAGGGGAGACAAGTGGTGGGACCACTAAATAAGGAGGAAGGGGATCCAGTGACTGATATGAGGGAACAGGCACAGATGCTAAATGACTATTTTGCCTCTGTGTTCTCCCCAAAGCAGGACGGGGGAGATCTGTATAGGAGATTAGATGAGGCCGGGGACTTAGGGGCACAGATTAGAGTCACCCCCCTAGAAGTTAAGGGCTTCCTTGGGACATTGAACGTTACAAAGGCGCCAGGCCCCGATGGGTTACATCCGAGAGTACTTCGAGAGTTGGCAGGGGTTCTCTCACGCCTGGCCTCCATTTTTGAGGCCTCGTGGAGAACGGGTGAAGTCCCAGAGGACTGGAGGGTGGCATCAGTGGTCCCAGTTTTCAAAAAGGGTAGTAGAAGGGACATGGGGAATTACAGACCTGTTAGCCTTATGTCCATTGTAGGAAAAACAATGGAAAGGCTCATAATAGCGAGAGATCTAGTGATGCAAGATAGGGAAGGGAGGCTGGCAGCCACACAACACACTTTCCGCAAAAACGGGTCCTGCCGGACAAACCTTGTGGGATTCTAGGACAAGGTTTCGAGATGGCTAGATGGAGGGGATGCAGTGGATGTGGTATACCTGAAATTCAGCAAGGCCTTTGACAAAGTGCCCCATGATACCCTGGTGGAGAAACTGAGGAGTTTTGGGATACACCAAAGCACTGTCCGGTGGATTAGGGCATGGGTGACTGACCAAAAGCAGAGGGTAACCATTAGTGGGGAATCATCGGGATGGTGGCCAGTGACAAGCAGGGTCCCCCAGGGCTCTGTCCTGGGGCCGATCCTGTTTAATCTTTTCATCAATGACATGGAAGAAGGGGTGAACAGTCTGATGATCAAATTTGCAGACAACAATAAAACTGGAGCAGTGGCCACAACTGAGGAGCAGGTACTCCAGATCCAAAAGGACCTGGACAGACTATGGAAGTGGGCAGGAGACAACAGGATGGCGTTCAATGTGGATAAGTGCAAGGTCTTGCACTTGGGGCATAGGAATGGGTGTCATAAGTACAGGTCAGGGGACAAGTGGCTGGAGAGCAGCACTTGTGAAAGGGACCTTGGGGTGCTGGTCGACTGCAGGCTGAACATGAGTCAGCAGTGTGATGCGGTGGCCAAGAGGGCGAACGCCACCCTTGGTCGCATAGCCAGAAGTGTAGCTTCTAGGTCAAGAGAGGTATTACTACCACCCTATACGACTCTGGTGCGCCCGCAACTGGAATATTGTGCTCAGTTTTGGGCCCCTCATTACAGGAAGGATATAGCCAGGTTGGAGTCAGTGCAGCGCAGAGCCACAAGGTTGGTGGCCGGTTTGAAGGGGATGGGGTATGAGGCGAGACTGAGGGAACTGGGTCTCTTCAGCCTGGAGAAGAGGAGACTCAGAGGGGATCTGCTGGCGACATACAGGGGGATGTCACACGGAGGTGGGCAGAGACCTATTCTTCCCTGCAGAGGAAGGCAGGACGCGCTCCAACGGAGCAAAGCTCAGGGAACCCAGGTTCCATTTAGATGCCGGGAAGCACTTCCTGACAGTTAGGACCCCGAGGATATGGAATGGGCTTCCACAGGAGGTGGTTGAGGCCCCATCGGTGAGGGTGTTCAAAGATAGGGTGGGCATGTCGTGAGCGGAGCTGGCTGGATCCGGGGGACAGACTAGATGCCGGGCACCCCTTCTGACTTGCTCTGTTTCTATGTTTCTAACTGAAAGGTATTTTATGCATCAACAAAACTGCCTCACGGAACACTGCCCCTAAGCTACCAGATGTGGGTTTCGAGATGCTTAAGGGGCGACTGCCACACATGGAAATCGCTCAGTGTTGAACTGCTTCCTGTTTGATCATAAAGGATCTGTCAAATAGGAAATTGCTTTGCACCTGAGCAGGGCTGTGCAAGGAAAAAGGCAGGCGATGAACCCTTGGGAGAAGTTTTTCTGGGAGACCCAGTTTGCATGGAATGATGGCAAATCGGGGGCTGTGCGTGTGTCACCAACTTGTAGGAATGTGCTACTGTGGCTCAACTGGAGTTTGCTCCATGGCACGAGGACCTGGACACCGTGGGTTAATCGCGAGTCAAACATGGTTAACTTGTACACTTGGCTACTAAGTGTGTATGCTGACAGAAAACACTGGGGGCTTTTTGTTCTGGGCCCCACAAGCCCTCTGAAAAGCCCTGAAAACAAAACATCCTGCAAGGACAGTGAAACGTTTTGTACCTGAGCACAGGATGTGTCATTCCCTGGCAGCCCCCATTACCTGTGTTCTGCGTGATCTGCCGTTTGGTGATCATCTGTTTGCACTTGGGATCCATCACTTCGCTGTTCTTGTTCTGTTTCAAACACTGCAGCATGTTCTTTGCATCTGCTTCTGGGCAGAATCGCTGCCAAAGGAGACAGAAAGTGCAACTCAAGTCAGTGGACAGCAAAAGCATTTCCCATCCTTGGCCATCACCTTGGCTCCCCAAACAGAAAGAGGTAAAAGTAACAAGGGGCAAAACCAAACTTGCAATCAAACACGTGCACCCCAGAGGTTGCCTGGCATGGAATGAATGCTCTGAAAAGTGATGTGTTAATGCCCGTGCTCACTGCGGTAAGAAGTGGGCAGAATGAAACGGCTAAACCAGTCTACAACTCTAAACCGAGAAGAACATGATACCGAGAAAGCAGGACTCAGGTTGGCCACATTCCCACTGGGCTCCACTTCCAGCATTCAGCCCAGCTGCCTGCACTGCAAAGGCCATTCTGCCACAGCTGGCTCTACATCAGCCGGCCTGAATTCTAACATGGCATTAAACTACACCAGAAGGCTGGGGAGGGTGGGAGAAAGCTTACTCCCAGTCCATATGCTGAAGCCTGGTGAAGCCGGATTTACCGCTCTAATGTCTACCTAGCTGAACATTGAGAAGATACCAAAAACAACAGTGGTCTCACTCAAAGGCAGGGAAAGTCATTTCAGAATGCATAAAAATACGCAGAGTAAAGCAGAACCGCACGCCTGTCAGTCTCCTGTCGCTTTCAGTCACTAGGGGTACCCAGTAATGGCATTTCAATCAACAATGGTTTTGCACATTGCTGTGTTTGTGCTACAACACGCACTTATTTCAAACTTCTAACAAAACGCACAAGTGTCTCAGGCCAACTGGACCAAGTCAGCACACCCGCCCTTTGCATACCATCATGCTTACCTTGATCATCTGTTTGCAGACACGCATGAGGGTGTAATCCAGTTCTGGATCCATCATCTCTGTCTCTTGGAGTTTGAAGACCTTCTGGTGGCAGCGGGAGTTCAGCTGCTTCTTGTTTTCCTTCAGACACTCAATAATCTGCAGTTAGAAGAGCAAAGGTGAGAAGACCCTGGCCGGCAGGTGGCAACACTCTTAAAAGGGAGCTTGCAGAGGCTGGCCAGATAATGTTGGGGAAGCAGCGAGCAGCAGCCATTCTGCTCTTTGGTCAAGCAGCCCGTCATCTATGAAAGGAGCCACGCTGCCAGCAGTGTAGTCTCACCAGGAGTGCATTATGGGCAAAGCCTTTCAAGGAGGCTGCTAAGCCGGGAGGTATTTAGAACTCCAACAACTATTAACTGAAAGGTTAAGAGGCCGAACGCCACCCTTGGTCGCATAGCCAGAAATGTGGTTTCTAGATTGAGAGAGGCATTACTACCACTCTACACGACTCTGGTGCGCCCGCAACTGGAGTACTGTGCTCAGTTTTGGGCCCCTCATTACAGGAAGGATTAGCCAGGTTGGAGTCAGTGCAGCGCAGGGCCACAAGGTTGGTGGCCGGTTTGCAGGGGATGCCGTATGGGGCGAGACTGAGGGAACTGGGCCTTTTCAGCCCGGAGAAGAAGAGACTTGGGGGAGCTGCTGGTGACATACAGGTATGTGAGTGGATGTCACATGGAGATGGGTAGAGGCCTGTTCTCCCCTGCGGAGGAAGGCAGGACGCGCTCCAATGGAGCAAAGCTCAGAGAGCCAAGGATCCATTTGGATGCCAGGAAGCACTTCCTGACAGTCAGGACCCCGAGGGTGTGGAATGGGCTTCCCTGGGAGGTGGTTGAGGCCCCATCGGTGCAGGTGTTCAGGGATAGGCTGGACATGCACATGGTGGGCATGTCATGAGCGGAGCCAGCTGGAGCCGGGGGTCAGACTAGATGCCCCGGGAGGCCCCTTCTGACTCGCTCTGTTTCTGTGTAACTCGTAAGATTGATGAGCTGGCAAAAAGTTCAACCAACAATAAAGTCAAAGCATCAATAATGTCTAAATGCAGGAAGGAATTTAAAATGGAGTTGCTCCTTCAACAGCCATTGTGGAAGCTTGGCAGAGAGGGAGTGCAGACCCAAGCCACCAAGAAGCTCTCCAGAAGAAACTCAGGAAGCATCAGACAGATGCTCTCAGGCTGCTCACTGCTTCAACAACGCACAAGCCAAAGGGCTGGAAAACAAAGCATGCAATTTCCAAATGCGCTTCCAGTCAAAGCCCTTTTTGCCAAGTGGGAACTTCCCAAGAGAGGACTGAGACACGACGTGATGAGCCTGTTTCAGTCTGGCAGGGTAGGACGGGGAGAGCCTGGTTCAAAGCCCCACTGAGTCATCAGAATCCTTGGGCGCCCTGGGCCAGACACCTTCCCACAGCCTACCTTACCCCACAGGGACCTGTGGGAACCCAAGTCGAGAGGGGTGGAGACTGCTGCTCTGTGCTCTGTGGAGGAAATCCCTGGCATTTTTCTTCCCTGTTCGCTTGCATGCCAGGTGCTTTCCCACTGCGAGCCTCGTTGGGCACCTTTTTTGGCTGAGAAGCAGGGCAAGAAGACTCGACATACACAAAGAATGAACTAAACAGAGAGGGGCCATCACCTGTGCGTTGCCAAAGGGGACGTTCTGGCAGAAGGTCTTGATGTCGCTTCTGCATGCCTCGTGAAGGTCTGGCTCCAGGCGGATATCCTCTGTCTACAAGACAAACCGCCAGGTTAAAATGTGGTTCAAACCCAAACGGGAGTCCCAGGCCAGAACATTCAAAGGGATTCCAGTTCTTTAAAAAGGGAAGGAAGTACTGTTTGTCTGGAGGGGGAGGGGGGAGGGGAGGGACAGGAACCATCCTAATTGACAGGCTGGGGATCTCTTTTCCAGGACCAACCAGAATGTCACAAAATGGAGGCGAAGCTTTGGTGTTTCCCAGACCTGTTCATCAGCACGGCGAGGAGGTAGGGTGGGACAAGACGGCCGTGCAAGCCATGAAGTCTGCATGTGGGCCAAGTCTTAGGAGTGGGGGGGGGGGTGAGGAGCGAGGACTGGGCTCTCGCAGGGGCTATGGAGACCGCCTTCCACAGGCAGCTGTCAGCACCCTGGAATCCAAAGCAGAGGGCAAGCCATAGCTGGAACGCATTCACGGGCCTAGCCAGATGGGACTGGAAGCAGCAGCCTTCTGCCAGGGGCCTTTGGCGTGCAAAGCTGCAGCCCCACCGCCTTACCATTTCCAGTTCCTCGACACGCAGTTGCTTGCGGCACTTCACAGACACCCGGTGCTCCTTCGCGTCCTGCAGTGTGTCATTCCGCACGGTTGTACTCAGGCAGATCACCACGTCCACCCTAGGGAGAAACCCCACTCTGGATCAAAGGCCTTCCCAGTGCATCGCCCTCGGCTGCAAACTATTTGCCGGGGAAAGCAACAGCTTTTTCTCCAGTCACCCCCACAAGGCAAAAATGTTCCACATACTTCTTCTTGATGTTGGGACAGAGTTTTAGGACATCCTCCTTGCAAGCCATTTTAAATTTATAGGAGAATCTGAAATCCTTCATCTGGACCTGAGGAAATAAAAGCAAGCAGGCTCCTTTCAGGGCCAGGTGCGAGAAACCTCTTGTTGCAACAGAAACACAGTGGCCCCCTTGGACGTCTTCTGTTTGCTGCCCTGCTTTGCTCTGGGGAAGTTCCCACAACACAGAACAGAAATACAGCGCCCACAGTGACGTCAACCACATCCACCAGCGGCCTCCAGTTGCAGAGCAGGTGACCCGAAGGACAAACCTGGGGGGGAGTGGTTGAGGCATGGGGCAAGAGCACCCCGATGGTCACAATTAGGAAACTTTTCTGCGGCAAGGAAAGCAAGAGGGCTGGCAAAGGAAACCTTCCCAGCTGCCAGGACCTGTCCTTTGGGCTTCAAGGGAGAAGGGAGCACTGGCTGTGTGGAGCCAGGCTAGGCTAAGCAACAGGATGCCGACGGGACAGCCGCACTCACCAGCTGGAAGTGGGTGACCCCGATGGCGCACTTCTCGTTCATCTCCTTCTGGTGTTTGTTCTGGATAAGGCACTCCATGAGGTCTCCTGAATCGATCTGGTTGTCTGCTACTTCCTGGACAGGGGAGAGGAGGCAGGCAGGCTGACCTTCTGGCGAACCCTGGGCTTCACGGAACCAAGGGACCAGCGGGACTCTGGTCCCACGCTGCGGCACGCATGGCACTGCTCTTTGCTTGACTGCCCTCTTTCAGGGAAGTGGCCAGCTGGGCGCGGCCGGCTCCAGAGCTCCCACATTCCTCTAAGCAATGAGAGCTGGTGGGAAGGAGTGGAAAGAGAGCTGGAAGGAGGCCTGGGAGATGCGGCTCCTACTTCCCGCTCAGCTGTGCGGCTCCCCGGGGGACTGGGCATAGCCCAACGGCAGGGTAGCCTATTAAAACCACGCCAGCAGGCTGCGGCACAGTAGGGGCAGGCACTGGAAGAACACGCCGCAGCTTTTCCACTGCACGGTTTCCCCGTCTCACAGCATGGAAGGAGGCAGAATAGCCATGCTCTATTTTGTGGCACAGCAGAGGCGCAATCATAACTGCACCCATCGCTTGTTATTGGAACAGCAGAGAATCCTTCCGTCAGTGACCTGTTCACTATAACTCAGCTTGTTTCTAGACAAAGCCAGCAGAGTGCAGGATCCTGGGGGAAACGTGTGGGTCAACATCACCCAGAACTGAAGCCAATTTGGAAAAAGGAACTAACTAGGTGTGCAGGAAGGACACTCAGTCGAGGCATGTTGCACAGCACAAAGGCAAGCGTGAAGGGGCCGGGGATTCCTCCCCCTACAGCAAATAGTTCCTGGTGAGCCAGACCCCGTGCCCCATCCTTATCTCGGCCCAAACAGTGGGTAAGAGTCACTCACATGGCAGAAGGTCTGGATGATTGGCTCACACGCTCGCATGAGCAAGGCTTCTATCTGGATGTCCTGCCAAAGGGAGAAAAAGCAGCAAGTCACCCCAGGGCTACGCTCCATTTTTCCAACAGCACATCAGTGTAGTCGCTACTGGAGAGCCTTCCAAGGTTCCCCGTTCTAAGCAGCAGTCCAGCAGGCCCTTGTAGGAAGAGCAGCTCCACATCTGAGCACCGGTCCATGGGAGCAGGAACCGGTTTGCTACCCAAATACAGGCTGGCTTGATCTGGCCAAACCCCAGCAAATTTAAAGGAAAGGATACTTCAACGCAGTGCATCTTTGGCACGTCTCCTCCTCACGCCCCTTAAGATCGGTGGGGGAGGCCTTGCTCTGGGAACCCTCTTTGAAGGAAGTACAGAGGGTGTCTACCCGGAGGAGGGCCTTCTCTGCAGTGGCACCCAGACTATGGAATCTGCTCCCCAGAGAGGCCTGCCTGGTGCCGACATTATATTCTTTCTGGCGCCAGGTAAAGACCTTTTTACTCAAATCATTATTTTAACAATTAATGCTTTTAGACATTTTAGGATTTTTTCCTTCTCTTTCACAGTTGCATTTTCTATAGTTATGTATTTTACATTATTTTAATAATGTTTTTATAAGGCAGTTTTATATTTATTGTATTTTTATAACTTGCAAGCTGTCCTGAGCGCTTGAAGCAATAGGACAGGGTATAAATGTAATTAATTAATTAATTAATTGCTTGACTATGCATTATTTCCAGTGATACCAGGCTCGGGTCATTCTCTCTGCCCAATCATTTAACTGAAGTCGAGTGCTTTCCTTTCTTCCGTTCGTGACTAGAATGCCTCAAACGGTCCCCCTTTCTAAAACACTGGGGTGGGAGCAAGCATCAAACTGCAGGTGCACAACTGATGGGCGACCCCCACACAAGTCAAGCGGAACCACTTGATGCCGAGGCTCCCCCCTTGGGGAGAAAACCTACTCACCTCCGATTCCAGCTCCGTGAGATTCCCAACGATGTCTCTGCAGTCAGCCACCAAGTCATCCAGATGGTCCTGGAGACATTCCAGTTCCTAAACAGGGCATGGAGTTAAGACAGAACATGGACGGGGGCATTTCTTTACTCCCTCGAGAATCCCACAAATGTGCCCCAGGATGCCGTTTTCCTGAGCAAGGTGGAACACTGCCAAGGCCGACTGCCACAGCCGCCGCCACTGTGCACTCCTCTGCAACGGACTGCACAGGCGGGGTGTGCAAATAGCTCTTCTCCGTGGACTTGACTCCCTGGGCCAGCAACTTACCAGTCTTGCCCTCGCTTGGAGTAAGTTACAAGAAAGCAGGAAAAAATGGGATTCACTTCGTTCGGACGCACTCACAAACACCCCTGGCTTGGCCACTCTGGCTTGATTTAAGCCTACTGGGCAATGCAGTCAAGTTCTGGCTCCCAAGACATCTTGCATTTCGCATGATCTCAGAATGTTTAAAGAAAGGGAGGCAAACCGGGAGGTGCATTTTACTTGCATGCATGCGACTCCCCGCGTAAGATGAAAGCACTGTGCGTGGTTTTGCATCCCATGCACCCAGCTGGGTACTTATCCTGTGAACGACGCAATCATTACTGGGAACAAGATCGCTTTCAGTGGGTTGGACCAAATCTACAGTGGGGTGCAAAAGCACGTCCGTCACCAGCAGGGCGAAATCATCCTCAAGCATCCGTTCCCAGCTGGAAAGCACACGCCCAGGATACCTGTCCAGGCTCCGTCTTCTCGCTGCACCACTTCCCCAGGTCTATCATGCACTTGTCCTGGAGAGCCGGATCCAGTTTCACATCCAGTGCGCGCTGGTGCAGAATTCGCTGCACTTCGGCCCTGCATTCTCGGGACAACTGCCAAGCACAAGGGGGAGAGCCTTGTTCCAGATGAACGACCCCGGCCTCTCGAATCTGGCCTTCCTCTTCTGGACGAGGCCAGCAACTCCCCTATGCTGCTCGTGGCCTCCTCCCGTGAAGCCCTGCGGCCACCCCGTGGGCAGTGCCCCACACCGAATTAAAAACAGGGGTGTTAAAGGACTACCCTGGAAGCTGCAGGTAAATGCACTGCACACCCCCAACCAGGCTCCTTCCCTGGTAAAGGAGGGCAGCTCAGACCTACCCGCCTTCCCTGCTCCTCTGTGCGATAGGCGTGCCTGTACAGGCAGGAGAAGACCGCCCCGGGAGGGATCATCTCGCTCGTCTCATTCCAGCTGTGCGTGTGGCAAAGCCGAGAGGCGTCTCCCTGGCACTTGCGATAGAGGACAGGATCAAGCCTGGAAAGGCAGAGAGACGGGAGCCACGGTCAGGTGTTAAGGGGCCCTTTGCTTACCATCGAGGAGAACAGCAGCTCCCCTCCGAAAGGTGGCAAATCAGAACTGGAAGCCCGAACAGGGCACGTGCCGTTCATCCATACAAGGAAATCAGATCCAGAGACATTTCAGGCTCACCGGTAGAAACATTTTAGCATTTGTGGCATGAGTTTTCTTTTATAGGATCATGAAAATTTTCTGTAAGTCACTTTGAGATGATAAATCTATACACACAACCTGGCACAAAAACAAGCAAAAGGGTCAATGTGCCTATAAACAACACAGAAGGCAGCAGGTACTTAGGAGACAAAGGAAATGCTGCATAACTACACTAGAAAGAAGCCTTTTCTTAAAAGCACCAGCCTGCAACAAAAAGGCCGCTTGTGATGCAGCGCTTAAAGGGAGGCGCTTTCCACGGGTAGCTGGGACCACTCTGCAGTGCACAGGTGAGAGGCAGCTTTGCGTGCAGCCACCAAGCTGGATTCTCTCTTGAAAATTCTATGTCTCCTATCTGTAGATCAGCCTTCCCCGCAACCTGGTGGCTGCCAGACATTTTGGACCACCACACCTAGCAGCCTTGACCATGCTGGCTAGGGCTGATGGGAGTTAAAGTCCAAAACATCTGGAAGGTGCCAGGATGGAGAGGGCTGCTACAAGACAGGGATTCGAGGAATTGCAAGCGCCAGAAGTCTGAGCGTGAGCCAATCCCACTAGAGAATTAAAGCCATTTATGACCCTACAATGCAAGACCCCCGTGGCCCACGTATCTCTGGGGGAGGTCCTGCTAGGAAGCCCCCTGCAGGCCGTGGGCTGATGAGGGTCCCCAGTGCCAAGTACTTACTTCCAGTCCCGCGAAATAAAGTACTGCAGCTCCAGCAGCCTGTGCTCACACTCCTCCACCATCTTCTCCGTGTAGAGGTGCTCCATAAGGCACGAAAGAATCCTGCGGGAGGCGGCAAGTTAGACCAGCAAATGCTCTGTCTGGCAGCCCGCATGCAAGGCGCTGAACCAGCGAGCAGCTCCCACGGGCGGAAAGGAGAGCCAAAAGCTATTTGTAGGGAATAGTAATTGCATGTTGCAAAGCACGGACGCTTTTCGGTGCAGAAAAAGACTTCCCTCCAGCCCATGCTCTCCCCAGACTTCTAACTGGTAAGGCTAGAGAGACCCACGCTGCGTAATAAACAGGTCGGCCTGTGCACGCACCACCACTCGAGGCCCGAGTCGCCTTACGCATGGAAGACCCTGGACCCAAGCCTAAAAGGCGCCTTTGCAACCCAAACGATGCAAGCAAGGAGGGATCCCATGGCTGACTCCATCACCTACATGGGGTCCCCAGCACGGATGTGTTTGCAGGCCGTTTGTATCACTGATTCACAGGCTTCGTTCAAGGCTCTGTCGATGCGGTAATCAGCGCCAGGATCTGCCTCCTGGATCAGGGTTTGAAGCTGGAGAGATGAGAGACAGGGAGCGTTCAACACTGGCAGAGCAATCTACGGAGCTCCCTGGCTTCTGTCCTTGGCAGAACTGCAAACCAAACTGCGCTGGGTATTACCCTTGCATTAATTTCAGGAAATGCTGCTGTGCAAGGGGAACGGGTGTGAGCTTTCCCATGGATGGTAGCCACGCCCCCGCACAAAAAGGGAAACGTTTTGCTGCAGGCTCTGAGCAAGCAATCTGGGCCCGAGCCCAGCAAGAGCAAGCCACCCAGATGTGCCACGGAGAAGAGCTCCCAGCTGTGCATGCAACTCAGCCAGAGCCAGCATCTGCCCAGGCTGCCACGGCCTTTGCATCTGGAGGCATCAGGCCTGAGTAAGACAGGCAAGGCCGAGCTACAGCAGGGTGGGAGCCGGCACTTGCAACTCTCGGGATCTCCCCATTTTGGGTTTTTTTGTTGTGAGCCGCCCCGAGGCTTTGTTGCGATGGGGGCGGCATAGAAATGTTTTAAATAAATAAATAATAAATAAAGAATCTCTTGAACTTCTCGAGGGCAGGCAATGGGCCGAATGATGCAGCCAGGCGAGAGCCATGCCTTTCTCAGAAGTGGTGAAGAGGAGGAGAGCTGTGAAAACAGGAAGAAGCCATTCGGCTCCGCTACACAACACGGGCAGGCCCCAAAGCCAGTTCCCCCCATCACACACACGGGTGTTAACCACCCCTCAAGTCTAAAGCAGCTCCAGCGATCAGGGGCCTCTTAGAAGATGGCACCCGTCTTGCCAGAGGGCCCCCAGCAAATAAGGACAGCCGAACGACACGTAAGGGATGGCGGCTGGGTGAGACCCATGGAACCTGGGGGCAAAAAGAGGCCTCTGTCGAAAACATTCTGAGCTGGAGATCATGTTTCAGTCCAGAAGGCCTTTTAGCAGAGTGGTCGTTTTTCAAGGGCTCGGACTCCACTGAAGCATGACTCAACTAGGTGGGTAGAGTTATGCAACCCCCCCCCCTTTGTGCTCAAGCAGCAGCAGAAGTATGGACAGCTAAATGGCCTCTCACTACAGAGCACGGAAGGAGACACAAAGGAGCACAAATGTTCCTTGGACATATATTGCCCACCCTTGGAAAGGGGATTAAGCTGCACACACTGGAGCAAGGAGTAGGCATGGGCTTCTATTAGGGAGCAGGTTTGTGTTTAGATCTTATCATCTGGTAATTTTCTAGCAGCATTTGCAGGCTGGGAACAGTGCCAGTTTTAGATTTAGGGCTCCATTTACATCCCTGGTTTCATCTGGTGTGAGGTGCATTTACTCAAACGCACAGTGTGGAGGAGACCAAGCAAAGCTGTTCATTTTCTGTGGTCTTGGGAAAATAATTAGCCTTAATACTGCCACTTGCTTTTGCTCTCTGACCTTGACAGAATCACAGGGCAGTATTGGAAGGTTGATGGTGTTTCTTAGAAAGAGCAAGAAATTCCTAAGAAATCAAGGGCCACCATTGTTCTCTATCCATTTACTGTTGGTGCTTCTCATTCCCTCCACTGTCAGCCCCACGAGGAATGCAGTGCCCCATCAAACCAATCAAGTAAAGTTGTGTGCAGTCTCAGGAAAGTTTTTGTTTTGCTTTGAAGTCTTTTTTTTTATACTGGTGAACTGGTAGGATCCCCCAGGAGCAATTAGCAATTCTAAAACAAAACAAAAAATGTAACCACCACCAAAACAATATCAAGGAGCCCAGAAAAAGCATCTAAGGTGATGCTCAAGACAGGAGTGAGAGACTTACCGACTGCTGACAGTTGACTCCCAGGCTCCCCTTCTCCCCTCTGACCACTTTCATCAGGCAATGGAGAGTGCGGCCCTTCCGATGCAGCCCTGAGCAGTGATGCTCAATCTCAGCGCGGCAACCGAGGATGATCTCTGGACTCAGGGAAAAGTCCTCCATCAGCATGCGCCGGTAGTCCAACATTTCACCCTGGCACTCACTGCTCACCTGTCGACCTAAGGCAAGCCGTGGGAGAGATGAGCATTACGAGACCTCCGTCTGCATGCGACCAAGGCTCCTGTTCCGTGAGCACCGGAATCCCATCAGTACACCCAGGGCTTTTCTGCACATAAGACTGCAACAAGCAGCACACCAAGCGCGTTAATTCTGTGTACCAGCCCATGTATTGAATAGTGTGTCCGTTCTGCAGTAGAACGTCCCCAGACATTTTAATGGAGGAAAATGGACGTGTCAGTTCCGGAGGAGCTTGTGCTGCCCAGGCGCTCAGGACACATGTTTCAGGCCAGTGGAGGGAAAACAAGGAGGGAAAACAAGCCATGGAAAGCTGCAGGGTACCGTCCGCATGTTTGCCGAAGTAGTATGCAGCCAACCACCAGCCAGCCCCCCCACGGTGATTGCCCCCAGGGTGGCTGAGCATGACAAGGGCAAATGTGTTTCCCAAATTCTCAAATATAAGCATGTGGAGGGGAGGGCAGCATGTGCAAGAAGGGGGGGAGCGGGCCTCACCTCTGTGCACAGCAGACTCTAAGCACATGAGCAGGTAGGACAGCCGGGCCTCCCGGGAACGAGGAAGATTCTCGACATTGCAACGGTATTTCTTCAGGTCGCTTTTGCAGGACTTTGCCAAGGAGTAGCTGACTTTGTAATCCTGAGCGATCAGCTTTTGTCGGGTTGTCAATGCATCGCGGCACTGGGGAGAACAAGTGAGAGGTCACGTGAGCCGCCTGCCACCCGCTCCCGGGGGACCTTGACGGGCACTCCTGCCACCCACAGATGAACCTGGCCCCTGAAGGACAAAGGGGAGGGTCAGAAAGCAGCCTCTGGGCTTGGGATCCCGGCAGAATGCCTAGGCTGGGAAGATACCGGGGACGGAGTTTAGCATGCAGAAGCTTCGGTTCATGGAAGGAGTCCCTGTTCCTGGAGAAGCCGTGGCAAGCGGGAGCAAAAGGGGAAGGGCTGGCGGAGAGCAGGGCCTGCACGGATCCCACCGTGCACCAAACCCCTCACGCCGCTGGCTGTGCGGGACCTGGAGGCTCTGCACTCTGCCCAGGCACACGGGAAAAGAGGCTCCCCGGAAACAGATCCTCTGGGGACCAGGGGGAGAGCAGCACTCACCTTTTCACTCATGGCATCTTCAAACTTGTGGTTAAAGAGACACTTGTACACTCTGCCTTCCCCAGCCTGCGTCTGTAAAACAGGAGAGCATTAGTGTGGCACACCTTCACCTGGCAACAAGAAAGGGCTTGGCCCAGATATGGCTTTTTTTATGCATCCACCAGATTATTACACGTATCTCCCACTCGCCCTGCAAGGAGTTCAGGGTTCAGTACATGCCGTTATCCCACCTTGCCCTAATACACTCACTAGAAAAACAACGAAGCAGGTTAGGAGGAGAGTCTAAGACAGGAACAGGCCGCCTGCTGCCCCTGGATGTTTACCTGGACTGCTCCAGCTCCAGGTATTCCTCACCTTTGGCTGGCTGGGGTGGGAGCCATCCAGAACACCTGGGCGGCAACAGATTGCCTATTTCTGGCATAAGGCCACCTAAGGAGCATCAAACACCAGCAGTGATGTGAATCCAGGATGCCACAGTCCAACTACAACAGTTTATCCACTACCGCTATCTCATTCTAGCCAGTGTGGTATAGTGGTGAGAGTGTTGGACTGGGGACCTGGGAGATCTGGGTTCAAGTCCCCACTCAGCCACGGAGTCCACTGGGTGAGTCTGGGCTGTCGCAGACTCTCAGCCCAGCCTACCTTGCAGGGTTGTTGCTGTGGGGATAAGATGGGGAGCAAGAGGAGAATGATGTAAGCCATGCAGAGTTCTTTGAAAGAAGAATGGCAGAACATAATTGTAATAAATAATAATAAATAAATAAATGCAAAAATAAGAATCATCATCCTGTGCACTGCGATTTGCAGGGCTGCTGTCCTTCGACTGTGTTTTGTCTTCATGGCCAAGACTTACATTGGAACAGAGTTTCACCAAGTCAAATATGCAAGCGGAGTAAAAGATCTGCTCTGGGTCTTTGAGGGCGGTGTCACTGTCTCTCTTATTCTATACTTAAAGCTCTATATAGAGCAGGTCTGTGAGAATACAGCAAAACCGAGGAAGCGTATCCTGAACAATGGTGTGTGGGGTGCAGGGAGGAGGAGCAGCGGCAACTCACATTTTCACAGAAGCGCTCCCGATCGTCCCGGCAGGCGAAGTACAGGTGCCGGTCCAAGTGGAAATCGTCAGAGGAGAGCTCTGCCACGCGGAGAATCGCCTTCTTGCACTGTTCCGAGAGCTTTGCTCGGGACTCGCTCTCCTCGGCTTCCTTCACCAGGCCCCTCTCCAGGCAGGCCACCACCTCTCCTTGAGAATGGGCATCCTGAATACAGAGAAGGAGGTCGCCCAGCCGCAGGGAGCACGCACAGTCCTGCCCCAGGCGGCTACGGAAGCACGATGGCCGTGGCACTTGCACGTGGTTCAGACTTAAATCTCTGCGGATGCCAGATCACTATCCCTAAATTCTGCAGGTGAACACATGAAGGGGTCCCCACACTTTTCAGACTGATGGGCGCATCTGGAGGTTCAAGAGAGCACTCTCAAGGAAGAGCTGCCACGGGGGAGACTGGTCCATTTGTCAAATGGTCAGTCACAACGCACTCATTTCCCAGAAAGCAAGCAGGTAAGGAAGGGAATAACTTGCTCAAGAGCCTAAGGACAAGACGGAGGTGGAACTGGGGCTCTGAAATCCTCTGAAAGGCAGGACTAGAAGGCAACCTGTTGCACGGCAGAAGGCCAGCTTCCCAGTTAAAACCAGCAAAGTGCTGGGGGCACAGGGAGCCTGCCAAGCAAATTCAGTCCTGAAACACCACTGGACATGTCTCAGAGGAACACCCAAGCCTGAAGCAGCCTGCAGCGGCCAACATCTGAGGGCATGCTCAGGCTAACAAAGACCAGCACTGCCTTCCCAGGATGCCCTTCCAGAAGAAAATTTGGAAGCCTTCCTGCAGCCTTCTTCAGCCAAGAAGTAGAACAAAAGCATTAGACATTGTCTCTCCCCTCTGCACTTCTGTTTAATGGATGTGGAATCTGCTACTTTCAAAAGAGATTACCTTCTCTCCAGGTCGAATGCTGCCACACTTCAGGAGGTTAATATCTGTCCTGCAGAAATCCATGAAGCCACAGATCAGGCGGTAATCACTGAAAATTATGGCTGTCATTTTGGTGATGTACTGGTGGCACTGGTAGTCGGTGATGTTTCCTCTGTGATCTACCAGGCAGGACACCAAGTAGCCTTTTCCAATAGGCTCATCTGCACATTCTTTGATCTGCCCAGGAAGATCCATGACAAAAACAAGACTGTACATCACCTGACAAGTTTGCAGAGAATTTCGTTTACTGCCTTCCCAGTGACTGACACTCAGAACTGGGCTCTCCTTCTGCAGACCTCCTAAAGGCAGCTGGAGAATGAAATGGGGGTGTAGCCCTCCACGGATCTCAATTTGAAGAGCAAAGATGCTATCACTAGGAGAGCCACTAAAACCAAGAGGCAATCACGCAGCAACGTAACATGCGTTTGCTGGAATTTCCAAACAGAAGCCATAAAGGTTAGGGTTAGGCTAGCAGGCTCTGGGAATGAGTCTCAAATTAAAGCCAGGGATTCTGATATTCAAATTGTTCAAGTTAGCTATTGTAAGCCACCTTAAATTTAAGCCAGTAGTGTTCAGGGAGCCACACATTCATTTACTATAACAAGACACAAAAAAGACTGTAATAGCATGATCTAATATCAAAAATCCTTAGTCTATTTTCTGAAAGTATTACATCATTTTATGAGTGCTTACAACTATATTTTATGCTGTCTCATGTTTTTGAATTTAGTGAACTGCTATTAGCAAGTACAGAAATGAAATGAAGTAAACCACATTTTCCATTGTGAGGTCCACTCTCCCAGTATGGAGAATCTCTGGACTCCCTTGAAATCCTTATTTTGTTTTAACCACCCTAAATAATTTGGCATCATCGGCAAACTCAGCCACTTTGCTGCTCCCACATAATTCCACAAACCAGGTCCACAATGAGATCGGCCATCCCATAGACAAAAAGGTCCTAAGACATTTGGGTTTAAAACGATTAGACTGAAACCTTGGATTGAGCCCAGAAAGCAGTCGGCCGCCACAAGGCAAGTCCTTCGAGGGAGGCATATGCGCCCAACACCATACAGCGGCTAGCGGGTTACTTGCCGCACTTTTCCCAAAGGAAACTCCAAGACTCTTCCGGACATGCTGTATCACCAGGACCGGCCAAGTCACACTGGCTCAGGAAGGGTCTCAAACGGCACCGCAAGTGGGGCTGCGTTGACTTGTGCCTTGTTGCCACCACTGCTGCTGACTCCTGAGCCATGGACCCGATCCTCCAGGAGCAGCACAACCCCTTGCGGGACACGTGGGACCCCAGCTGCAGACTCAGGCCAACAACACCTCAGTTTCGCCTGGGTTTAACCGCACACGCATCCAACCCATGACCAAACCCAGCCAACATGGTTCAAGGCTTTGGTGCCTCTTCGGGAAGGAACAATCTAGGGACCGGGCGGGGGAAGGGTCTGCATATTGGTGGCACCTTAATCCAAAGCTGTGAAAGGCCTTTCCCAGCGGTTCCATGTTAATAGGAGACGGCATGGAGAGCAAGACAATGTTGTAGAGATTATACTAAATTTGAAAATATGATTGTGGAAAAGGGAAGGGAAAAAGAAAAAATATGCAGATGAAAGGAGTAATAAGTAAAATTGGTAAGATATTATTAGAAGATGAAAATCAATATGATCCGCCTAAAACAAGACCTGAGGAAGAATATTAGTAATGAAGACTGGGAAAGTATTCGGGCTAAGAGGGTGTTAAAATGTATGTCAGTAAGAATAAAGGAAAGTTTTTATAAATTAGTGTGGAAATGGTAGGTAACCCTAGTAAAGCTGAATTATATAGACAGCAAATATTTGGAGATGTGGTCATCGAGTGAGAACATTTTTTCATATGTAGTGGGAATATGAATGTATAATGAAAAATGAGTAGTAAAACATTAAGTTTCAAGTTGGAATATTAAAGAATAACCAACTTAATAACAGAGAGAACTGGAAAGTAAAACATGATTTTCAATTGTGTGATTGGTAGAGAGAAGTTTGGAATATAGCTATTAATGATAAATTAACAGGAGTTTAAAGTAAAAAAGGATATATAAAAAGAATAATTCTGATGAGATTTAGGGTTCATTTATTATGTGTTTTTAAAAAGGGAATGAATTTGAATCTTCACAAGGGTCATTGTGATTCTGGAAGGGGGATGCAGATTTCTAAAAAAATTTTTGAAAGTTTTTAACATTTATCTAATGACCCCACTGGTAGGATGGCCCAGGGTTTTTTAATGTTTTATTTTAATTATATGTTTAATGTTCTGTGTTATTATTTTAAACCCTAATATTTTACCTTGTTCAATATTTTTTAAAAGGAACTGTTGCAGTCAATTAATACGTTTTTAATTTACCTGCAAACTGACCAGAGAATGTCAGTTACTGGGCAGTCCAGATGTGTAATAAATTTGTTATGGGTTCCCTTGTTTAAGACTAGTTCTATTAACATAAAATGAAAAACTCTAATTTCACAAGATACTTTAAACAAGACAGGCATTATTTGGAACAAAAGAGATATAATTTGATTCAGCAATGTTTATTTCTATACTCCAGGAAAGAGCAAATCAGATCCGTTGCTGGACAGTTCACCTATCCTGGTGAGATTATTTGAATCCAGCCATTCATGCTACTCTTTTTATTCCTTTCTTTCTTTCAGTTAGACTTGTTTTATATTGATGAATGCAGATCATTACTTTAAAAGCTTCTAGATGAAGGTCTTCCCAGTTCCAGGAAAACTGCAATCCTACAAAGGACTAAGCTTCACTGAACTCAACATGATCACTTCTGAGTAGTCATACAGAGGACAGACTGTAAGGACACGATCTTAAGTATGTACAGATAGGAAAAAATTCTCTCTATTCCCAGCACTGCTTGTGCAACAAGAAATATAATTCAACGGTCATACTACAAGAAGTTGCAATCCCTTACATAATCACCATCAGCACCTATTTGTTAAAAATGCTTTTAGCCTTTTAATGATTTTGATTTTCCTTACAGGCATTACAACAGTTAATTTACAAATGAAAATCATTTTGGGGTTCACTGGGCATTTCTGCTGCTTTTAGGGACCAACTACAGTGGTACCTCAGCTCACGAACACCTCAGTTCATGACCAAATCGGGTCACAAACCAAAATTTCATTAAATTTTTGATTCAGGTCATGAACTCCACATTGGGTGACGACCACAATCGTGGCGGATGGCTGCAATCGTGCTGGGGGCAGGGTGGGGGAAGATGGCCAAGAGCGCGCCTGTCTTTCCTGCACAAGCGCAACCGCGATCTCGGCCATCTTCCCGCCCCAGCACAATCGCGCCCATCCCTCCTCCCGGCACACACTTGTTTGAGCCCATCTCTCCCCCGCAGTGTGCCCACGTTCGCACCCGTCTCTCCAACCCCCTCCCGTGCGCCGGGATGACAGGTGTGTGCAGGGATGACAAGCATGGGTCGTGCTGGGGGGGCGGGGAGATGGCCACGCTCGGGCTCGGGGGGGGGGGGCAGGGGAAGATGGCCGCGATCTTTGTTGTTGTCACTTTGCTTCACATTTTTCCGACTATTAAAAAAAACAGATACAGAACGGATTAACCTTATCTACATTGAACCTTATGGGAAAATTTAACTTGGCTCACGACCAATTTGGATCACGACCAGTTTGGGTCCAGAGTCCTGGAATGGATTAAGTTTGTGAGCCAATGTACCACTGTATACGGTTGTTGAAAAATACATATATTCATTTATGAAGTACAAATTAGGTTGGTTTGCATTAAAATGCAGACCAAAAAAAATTGTCCCCATCCCTTTAAGAGAGAGACAGGCAGGGGCGCTGTGGTTAGAGCACCGGACTGGGACTCGGGTGCCAGATCCGGGTTCGAGTCCCCGCTCAGCCATGGAGCTCCCTGGGTGACTTTGGGCCAGCCATGGATGCGCAGCCCAACTTGCCTCACACGGTTGTTGTTGTGTGGATATAATGGAGAGGGAAAACTCTGCAATCTGCTTTGAGTGCCTTGTAAGATGAAGAGAAACAGGGTGCAAATGTAATATGATGACAACACCAACAACTATATACTGGAAATCCTTTACAGTTCTGTCTTCTGTCAGGCATCTGGCAATGTATGGTGAGATTGATTAAAACTTGCTTTTAGATCCATGTGTGTCTCTCTGTGTTGCATGTTCCTATGATTCTATGTATATGGTTTTTAGAATGTGCTTTTAAGATTAAAAGAATGAGCTTTTAATTCCCAAAGTGTCCAGAGAGCATGGGTTATTGGGTTACTGGGTGATACAGATATGTAACAATTGGAACTGGCCATCAAAATGTCTCTACAATTTATCAGTTAATAATCATACACCATAAAATAATAAATTATTTAAAATAATATCACTTCAAACACCATCATTCAATCTTCCACCACTTAGACTTAAAATGGTTAACAATGTCAACTCCTCAGCCTTCACAGAAGAAACTAAATCAGCAAGTCTGGCATATACATCTCAAGTGACCACTAAATTGCTGTCTCCATCTTTTCAACTGGCCTCAATTTCCATTCCCAGTGTGGCTACATTAATAATTAGCTTCATGTCTCTTGTCATCACCACCTTCTTTAGTAAGTCCTAAATTGCCAAAGGATCTATTGGTAATGAACATCCAGCGGAGCACTGGTAGAGAATAAGAGAATTCACAGTGGAGACACACGGGTGTTCTTAGCTTAGGATCTCAGAATTACTCACATGAGAGAAGCCTCAGGAAGAAGGACGTGAGCCTAGAAACGGCCTCTCTCGCCAGAGCTCCTGGCCTAGAGACCAGAGTGATCTTCTTCCACTTGCTCCCCAACGCCCAGGCCAGCAGGGATCTTTGCCAGCAACTCGGCAGCACCGCTCAGTTTCTTCAGCACGTGCAGCAAGAGCATTGTGTTGTGACAAAGATTCCTACACAAGGCGAGCGGAGTGAGAACAGCCAGAGCACGGGCCACAGAAATTCCTCATGGCTGGTGAAAGTTAAGCCACACTTTAAAGTTAAGTGTGTGGTGTTTCCATAGCAGATATGCCCAGGTACTTTGGCAGTCAACATGCGAAGGGTTTTCTCAAGAGAGAAAGCTTAAAAAGGGGGCGGGGGGGAATCATATTCTATTGGAATGCGAGAAGCATGTAA